TTTGCCCGAATTTCTATCCCATATGTATATTTCAACAGTGAAGGAAAGCTGTGTAAATTTCAGAAGCTAATTATGTAACGTCCAGAATACCACGCCTTACTGAAAGTCCAAGCTAAAGTGGAAACGGTTCTTATACTGTTCGTTATCTTCATGTATTTTACTCTTTTGTTAATATCGTATCATATCAGGAGATGCTGACTCCTCCATGGCACCTGATCCCACCTCTGATGTTGTAGAGGTCCGTGACTGCTCTGATCCTGATTTGCATTTTTGAATGGATTTTGAGCTCCAATGCCATTCGCTGTCTCCATATATCCAGTATCAATCAGATACCTTTTAGCTATAAGATTTTTTTTCTTTTCATTTGCAGAAAATGAAATGAAGCGAAAAAGATTTTTCATTGTCCTTGTGGCTTTGGCTGTATACGTTGCAGGTAAGAACTCTGCTTTCAACATACTGAATACCCCCCCCCCCCCCCCCCCGAAATTGTTTACTACTTTTAAAAATGATTTTTAAATACAACATTTAACGTTTTGAATCTGTATGCTTTTTAGTTTTATTCTATAAATTCATGATAAAATGCATACAACTTGCATACATCAATTTGCTATACAACAGATGCTGGAAGAACAAAGCGAGACTTAAACCAGTTTAGTCGAATGATCTACTTGACAACTGGTCGTGACCCTTTTGACCTTAGTGACTATGGAAACTGGTGCGGTCTAGGAGGAAACGGAAGTGTGGTGGATGCCATTGATGAGTATGTAGTCTTGTTCAATGGTCCCTATATTGGGAGTGCAAGAGAACTTATGAGTATGGTCTCTTTTATCCTTAGCGGTCGAGAAGGGCATCAGGAATAGATAACTTTTAGATCAGTGGGAGGGATGGCCAACCAAAGTGAGCCCATGCCATCAGGTGTACTTGGCGTCCGTCGTCAAAAAAAAAATCTCTAAACCTACAGCACATTTTTCTGAAACTTTATAGTATTGATGTTGGATATAAATTATCCTATTCACTTTTCATTTTGGTTTAATAAGAATCAAGATTACTGCAAATTTGAATTGAAAGTCAATGTGGGGTGTATGATATGCAGGGGAGTTTTTTTATTACTCAGAAATAATTCTAAAAGCAGAAAGGCAAATCTGCTTTTAGAAAATAATAAAGTTGACAAGATCTGACCATTCCATAGTTTTTATATTAAAATCTTTGCGTCCAGTTTGATTTATAACTTAAAAGCCACTCTGGGATGTCAATTCTCTTATCTCTGAGTCTGACTGAAGAATCTTTTTAAAATCCTTTTGCTAATAATCCAAAAGCATATGACATGTATTCTTCAATTTGTCTAAAGGGCCACTTTTCATTTCGATCCTGTGAAAATCGAGCAAAAAAGCAGGATTTTTTTGCGTTAATACACTGTTATATGTGTAAAAGCACATTCGCACATAGACAAAATTTGTTCTGTTTCAGAAAACCTTTTGGATTTTTCTTCAGCCTAGATGGGTGATTTTGTTTGTAGAAGCGTCTATAGTTATCCCAACATAATCAGATAAATGTAATTCTTAAAATGATTTGTTAAAAAAAGTAAATCATAAGATTATATATAAATTTTAAAGGTCTAAAGGTAACTGCAGAACTGTAGCTCTCTGGAATTATTTGTCCGAACTTTCTTATCTGGAGAGCTACAGTTCTGCAGCTAGTTTAATGCGGAAGCTCAGTCAGACAAGACTATACATACATGTGAGTTAATGTTCCGTAGTTTTTATGTTTAGGCTTTTTGTGATTTGCAGATGTTGTTACCATCATGATAACTGTTATGATGAGATTATAAACGATCCTTTGTGTGGGAATGTGTATACATTAAAATACAAGTCTGAAATCAGCAAAGGGACAATCGAATGTAGTAAGTGGTGAAAATACCCTTTAATCCAATATATCTTTTAGTATAATATATATTTAATACAATATAATGCAGTAAATATACATGTATAATTTTACATAAAAATAATCTATTTACAGCCGACGATCGTCCCTGCCACAAAGCATTGTGTAACTGTGACAGAACGGCGTCATTCTGTTTCCAAGACAACCGAGCAGCATACAACAAAGCTCACAAAGGCGTGTTTGCAAAGATCATGTCAAAATTAACGAAAAAATTCTATGAATAAAACTTTTTAACTCGGGATCTTCACCCGAAGAAAAACTTTTCTCTTTCTTGTATACTTTTAAAAGGAAACACCACAAAATAGAGCACTAGTATTAGCTGATGTGTACCATATATCGATTCAGTACCAAATTCTGAAATGGAAATGAAAGTATAACAAAATATATAGAAGTACCAATATTTTAAAAATATACGACAGACCAATAACCACATTTTCGTAGGTTAAAGATATCCGATCCTCAGCGAGGAAGGAAAACTCTTTTTTATATAATTTAATTAAATCGTCTCAAAATAAAGAATGAAATTGAAATTTTTTCATGCCACTTAATATGATTCAAGGTTCTCTGGTGCCTAAGAAACATTCTTACAAAAAGTTGAAAAATAACACATTTACAAAAATTCAATTTCCATAAATCTAGCCTAAGAAATCAATGTTAATTAACTTGATACGAAACCAGAGGTGAACTACAGTGTTTTGCAAGGATAAGAAAGGCTTTATACACTATACATTATAAATGATCGACGTAAAAAGAAGAAAATGGTGCGATATAAGTATAAAATCATGCAATTTTCTTCAAAAGCCTGAATACCTATTATCTTTATTCTTAAATTGTTTTAGATCAATTTTCAATTGGGAAATGCATAGTGGGTGTTTTTTTTTTTTGGCATTTGTTTGAGATTTACTATTTTTCTTATACAAGTATATTAATATGATTTACTTCAAAGCTGAAGTTTGAAGAATTACTGTTGTTAAAAATATTACGTTGAAAAATTCAGAGATATTTACGAGCATTTTCAATTATTCAAGAAGTACCTAAGGATCCCACTACTAAAAAAATATATTTCGAGATATAACCCGAAACTTTCGAAAATAAACACGAAACTTTCAAAAACGCAAAACTGTCGCGTATAAACGCATTACTTCGCGTTATAACGCAAAAAATTTCGCGAATGACTTGTTGACCTTTAAAAAATATATTTAGCGAACGCTGGACTTTCTTAAATAAATGCAAAACTTTCGCGAATAAACGCATTACTTTCGCGGTATAACACAAAAATTTGGCTAATGAATTAAAATCTTGTGGAAATCCGCACAGATATAGAAAAACAATATTAACACTATACATTCATTATGGTTTTTACAACATCACGACGGTTTCTTCCTTAAATACGCTAAATTCTGCATACTCGAATAAAGTTATTTTTCCTGCACAGAAAGTGAAAAATTATCGCTTCTTCAACACTGATTTCTCATTTTGACCCTTCACAAATAAATGACACTTTAAAAACATGGCCAACAGAATGTGTGAGAAAATCTGATTAACCATACTAAGACTGGATGAGTGATTTAGACGGAATATCTTCTTAAAATCAGGGTTCACCTTAATTGTGTTGTCGAAATGTTTGTATTTTGGTTTTTCCCTTGACGTTTGAAAAACGTGATAATAACATTGAGTTTGTCCAAGAACTAAATTCTTTGAAAACAATTCCTATTTTTAAACGAATATATGTGTAATCCAGTATTTTGATTAAATTACCTTGCAAATCAAATCGTTATATTTTATATATATGTACATTAGTATTTTGTAATATTTCTGAGGATACCAGTAGACAATTATAGTTTATTTTCAATCAAGTCCCTACCACAGGAGTTCGCATGCCTATCAATTTACCGAAATTTTTATTTAAAAATACGTCATACCTTTAAAAATTACGTGTTATTATTAAAGATATGAATTTTTACTGTTATTAACGGTATGATGTATCTTTTTTTATTTACTAAAAAATTCTGTAAATTGGTAGGTATATGAACTCCTGTGCTTTGAACTCATGCCACATTAAATGATTAGAGACTGGAGTAAATTTTTAGTTGACGTAAGATATCAACATTTTCACATGTATTTTTCATTACGTTCATGTGCTTCATTGAAAAGATAAATTCATATTTCCTTGTAGAAAGGACTTCAATCTATAAGAAAATGTATTTCATTTTCCACAACATCTATAAAACAAATTTTGTTTCTTGCATGTATTTTTCGATTTCATTACGTTCAATTGCTTCATTAAAAAGATAAATTGAAAAATCTGACAGTTATTCCTTATATGTAGAAAGGATTCAATCTATTAGAAAATGTGTTTGTCCCGCCCTGCACGTGGTTTTTTTGGAACCGCGCCAGTGCATTGATGGAGAAATAAAGTACATTGGCTATTTGTAATTTTATCTCGGACAAAAACATTGGAAATGTAAATATATATCCATAAAATTTCATCAGATTCAGAAGAAAAGATGACATATTATTACGCCATCGATCTTGATACACTGATCGTTTGATTTTTTCATGTTCAACAACATTCACATATTGGTGTAGAATTTCATTATCTTCTTTCGTGTAATCCTTTATAATATATTTGGCCATGTCATTAGAAAACGTTTGTTATACTTACGCATTACGATACCATTACTTAAGTCAAAGCAAAATTACTTATTCAAAGGGTAACATGTCTTAAAATGGATTAGCGTGTAAAGAAACTAATATAAACAAAACATTGTCTGTAATGCTTAATGCAAACAACCTCAGAGATATTTTACAATTCTTTAAATGCCCAGCAATTAGCTCTGTCCATCCTTTTATAAGCGCAAGCGAGAGAAAAAACGTAATTGATCCGAAATTACAGCTGATCTGGATAAGAATTTGAAAATCGCCTGAAGTTACCATTATCTGTTCTGTAAATCAGACGTGTCAGTGATTTTCGTTCCTTTCAGTAAAGAGAATTTTGGAATGTCTTCTTGATTTGGAGGATCAAGTTAGAAACACATCAACAAATTTCTTTGTTCAAGATGATGAAACACGGAGTGGTCAGATTTAGATGTCTGTTGATCTTATCGGTGATCCTCCCCAAAATTGACGGAGGGACCCTGACAGAATACAACAACGTTCACAGCACGGTTTTATCTGGTTACAACAAGGATGCTAGACCCGTAATTGATCAGTCCCAGGTTATGAACGTCACGTTGGGCTTCCATCTGCTGACCATCGCTAACGTGGATGAAGTGACCAGCGAAGTGGTCAGTGTAGGAAGTTTTTACATACACTGGAAGGACGAAGTTATTCAGTGGGATCCTTCGCTGTATGGATATACTTTTTCGATTAATATCGACGAGTCGCTTGTATGGAAGCCACCAATGACATTTCTTAACCCTATGTCTTCAAATATGGGTCTTTTAGGATTCAAACATTCAAAAATCAAGTACTATGCCGACGGCGGTGCCTACTGGAACATTGCCGATAGGTATCAAACGACGTGTGATTTTGACACGAGGTATTTTCCTTTCGATAAACAAACTTGCAGCATGAAAATCATGGTCTGGGATTACAATAAACATGAAGTCTTGATGTATGCATCGAATTCGGTAATTGATTTAAACTACTACAGTGAAAATGGAGCCTGGATCTTGGCTTCCACAGAAACCAAGTTTGAGCTTCTTGCAGAAAATTCGGTCGTGGTCTTTAACCTTAATTTGAAAAGGCGTCCTTTGTTTTTTGTTGTCAATCTTTTTATTCCAGTGTTTGTAATGCTGATGTTAAACACTTTGGTGTTTATTTTACCAGCAGATAGCGGTGAACGTGTAGGGTACTCCATCACATGTCTTCTGGCTTTGGCGGTCTTTCTGTCTCTGGTGTCAGATGGTCTGCCACAAGTATCCAAGCCAATGCCATTGATAGGGTATATTTTGGCCACATATCTTATAATTTCCGGTCTCATCTGCGTGGAAACCATCTTCATTCTTCGTGTACATCATAAAGAGGAAGAGGAGGAAATTTCGCCGTTTTTTATGCGGTGTTACAATTTATTTTCTTGTGGTTCCTGCAAAAAAAGCTCTCCAAGTGTGGATAATTTTACAACAGAAAAAGATCAAGAAATGACAAAAGTTGCTTTCGAGATTCCCGAATTATCCCCTGTAACATGGAAAAAGATATCGTCGAGTCTGGACAAAATTTGTTTTATGAGCAATTTGGCCAGTGTAATCATAGTTGGGGCCGTTTTCTTTGTGATTGTTAACGTCAAGTCCATTTCTTGACATTTCAAATATGTAAATCTACATACACAAAAATAGTGCAGAGTGACACTGACTCTGACAATATCACAGTGCGGAGTATTAGCATCTTGAACATCCTGGTACTTCTTCCATTCGTATCTTTATGGTTGTAAACTGTTGAAGTTTTAATAACTGTCATCAGTGGCAATACTGCTATGTTGCCTGTATACATCCTGAATGTCTTCCGAAGTTCCGCATGAAAAGGGATTTTTTTTTAGCCTTCATCCAATTTTAACATTATTTGATAGCGATTGATAATTTTGTTACCGAGGAGTTACTGGTAACTTGCAAACAAGTAAATTGGTAAATCTTAAGTATTTTTGGATAAAATTTGCTAGTTGCTAATATAAATGTACTAGTAACCTGCTGTGGAAATTCATTAGTACATGATTTTATTCCTTTGATTGTATAAACAGTTCATCCAATAGATCTGTTTGCCTTCATAATCGGAATAAATGAAAGGGGGGCTAATTGGGGTGGCTAAATTCAAAAAACGGTCCCCAATTTTCAATGCCTATATAATGTCTATTTTTGCAAAAAGAAAAAATAAACAGCCCCCCCCCCCCCCATCCGGTTAGATCTGTATGGCCCTTGTAAGAATTATTCCTGTATTTTCTTATAAAATTGTAATTGTTACAACATTATTCAAGTGTTTTCATTAATTATGAAATAACAAATTCTTAAAAGACGCATTCTTCTCGCCACTGGAACACATTAATCGACAATGTAAATGTCTTCAGGTTATATTTACTTCCAATAAAACCATTTATACAAGTAAATACTTAATCTTTTAATCTGATCCAAAGAGTGCTTTTTACAGTTTGTAAAAGGGACAATTCCATTAATCTCTCTATCTCTCGCGTGACAAGCGTAATTATGTTCCCCAAACGAAGTTGGGGAACATATTGTTTTTACTCTGTTTCTTATTATTAAGGTCTTCCGTCTTCACGGAAGACCTTATAGTGATTCTATTGTTTCTTATTATTATTATTAAGGTCTTCCGTCTTCACGGAAGACCTTATAGTGATTCTATTGTTTCTTATTATTATTATTATTATTATTATTTTTCCGTACACCAGATTTTGTGCACGCGATTTCTCGAAGACTGCTGGGTGAATTTTCATGAAATATACAGATATTATGTATTGTTATCTGAAGTTATTTTTTCCGTGAGATTTTTTGAAAATTCTTATCTGGTGCCAAGTTACGGGACATTTCCTGATTTTAAAATGACATTTTGTCTACGGTTAATCTCAAGAACGGTAGAAGATATAAATGTGAAACTTTCAGGGATTATAGATCGTGATATATGCTATCCAGGACGCGACATTTCGTTCGTCGTCAGTACTTCCTGTCGTTAGGACAAGCGAATTAAAAAAAACGTATTTTCTAACTTTTTTGTTTTCCAATATTTTTTATTTATTTTTGGAATATTAAAAGAGACCTTTCTATTGATGCTTACTATATAAGTTGTTTGATTATTGGTTAATCTGAACTCTAGATATTAATATTTGAAAATCTGAAGCGGGTCAGATTGCGGCTGTTTTACAACTCCGCCATTTCGCGAGTAGGGGTTTATGGAGGCAGCTAGCGTTTGATTAAACGATTCTGAAATAAGGATACATGAAATGTAAAAAACTACTTCGACTCTCACGTAGTAGTGACATGGTTGGAGGAGTTTCCCGTTACTTGTTTATATTATAATAGCTAATCAACAAAAATATCGTAATTAATTGGTCATTTGACAAAAGAATTATACAAGTATTATTGATAAATGATGTTCTGTTAGAAAATAATAATAGTGTTGCCAAAAGAAAGACAGTCTGTTGTATTTTATCAATATGATATCTAATTACTTATGATCATTGATTAAGTTGAGGTACAAGGGGGCAGTACAGCCAACTGGCTTGTGTCTTCACTTTGGTGCAGAATCCTATTGGTGTAACGATCAAACCAAGGATTGTGCAAAGTTGCTGTAGTTAGTGACTAATTAAAATATAGATGCGTGACAGTAGCTGTAGGCTTGTCATTAGGACAGAGAAGCTCTTACAAAGTTAAATCACACTGTGTAAGTATATTGTAGCTACTTCACCCCTACTAATGTGTTCGGAACCTTTTATTTTTCGGTGTTCTGCTCATTATAAAACCCGATGAGTTCAGAGTAGCTCTGACAGTGGCTCTGGCGAGAGCTAGCGAGACTTCAGCGAGATAGGGTAAATTATTCAAGGAAATGTGGCTAGGAAGTGACTAGCACGTGGAGACATGGTAAACAGAAAAGTTATGTTGTGTTTTAGTTCACACCACCCTATAATACCATTCTGTAGAAATGTACTTCAATTAATCTTTCTTGAATTCATTCAAGTTTAAATTATTTTAAGTATTCTCTTTGATACAATTTTCTGCTGTCATGAATTAAAATTTCTTTTTGGACAGATATTTTGCATGGGAACCGGGACTATATTTTTTGGCGTCAGATTAGCAAATAGGGCACCAATGTGACTTTAACTGACAAATCAGATGAATGAGAATTGCATTATGGGTTACTATACGAATACTACAGGAATTTTACGCTTGATAAATTCCTTTATTGTACTATCGGTGAATACAATTGCCAGGTGGATTCCCTGGCCAACACACGTGATCACGAGTATAGTTATGTAAAAAAATGTTTTGTCCATTTAAATGAATACGAGATGCTGCACGTTTTCCTTTGAAATGCTGGTGTTCTGAACTTGACACGAACTATGTATACGTTTTATTAAACATATTTTTCTCTAGTAAACAACAAGTTAAAAACGCCCCTGATATTTTTAATAGTTTCTAATGTTTGCATTTTGTTCATAAGAACATTTTTTTTATTTTGCACTCCACTGACATGATCATAGATTGACCTGAACCACGTGTTCGAAGTAACACGTAATCATGTATTTGGCGTAAACGTATACAATCAACAATTGGTCAGTTGCTCTTGGTAAGATGCTCTGTGCGCATTAATAGCAATAGCCATATAAGGCAAACAAAGGTTTGTCAGTGTAGATGATATTACACATTTTACCAGCGTATCGGTAGCTAGTGAGCTGTAATTTTTGAAGCTAAAAATAAGATGTATTAATTGTTATTTAAACCCCCCCCCACCTTAAGCCACCCATTTCTGTTGAAAATCATGAAAGTCTTTCAGAAAGGTGTGGAAACACACATTTTTCACAGGACATGTTTCAGAAGAAACAGACTATAGCAATTTCCTGTTTACTGCCAATTTTATTTATAAAACCGGATCTACCCTATAACCTTTGAATAGGTAAACATAAACCACGTGCCTTGAATTTAAATCACAATAACATTAGTAGGGGTGTATAGAACGCATTGTGAACGTATTGTGAACGCAGCCAGCGCAGTGAGAACGCCGTGAACACGAGGTGAAAACTCCTAACGCGCCGTGAAAACTCTGCGGAAGCGCAGTCAATCGCAGAGAGATCTCCGTGGGAACGGAGTAGAACGCCGTGAGATCGCCGTAGAATCGCGTCCGTCCCCGTGGGGACGCCGTGACATCTTCATATTATAAAAAATTTACAGAAATTTGTGAAATTTTCCTGCGATTCCACGGCGATTTAAAAAAATTAACACGCCGTCATTACGGCGTGTGAACGCAGCTTGGTGTGACAGGGCTGCGTTCACACGGAGTCATTACGGCGTTGTTAAATTTTTAAAATCTTAAAAGAACATTATTTTTACATTGAATTGGCGACGGATATTTCATGACAAGGAACGTACGACGGGTTTAAATGGTCGGAAGGGGATGTTTACACCTTGGTACCTGCTCTCATCTATAACTCAATTTTTTCTTCATCATTCATAATCATAATCGATCTCAATTTGAGGACGTTAAGTTTGATAACGAGTTATATTGTGTGGGGGCATCAAGCAGGTTGGCCAATTAATTAGGTATTGGCTCTGAGTATTTCCATCTTTGCTACCACAAATGCGGTTTCATGTATTATTTATTCAGATTTTTATACTAAAAAAGGTTAACATTCATGTATATATTTCAATCCTCCACCAGCACCAGAAAATACAAAATATCATTGTAAAAATGCATACACGATGACAGGTCAAACTAAATCATCCTATGGACTAATTGAAAATGAACAACAAAATGGATTACATGACTAATGCTGTGATAAAAATGATCAAGTTTGGTCAAGTTCTATGAAAATCAAGTATATAAGTACAGCAGTAGAGAAAAAACAATGCATCATGTAACATCGTCTAAAATATCTATACACATCACTTAGAACATACATATGAAAGCTATATCCCTCCTTGAGTGACCATGAACAGTATACAACTTAAATTTTATTCATAAAAATGTTTTAATTTATATATCAGTAAGATAAACATTCAAATTTTTTTACTTATGAAAATGAAGATAGATCAAATTCAAAGTATCCACAGTCGCCTAAATTAACCCTATGTTACCCGTTGTATTCTAACTCCATTACGACAAATACTTGACTAGCGGGGGAAAACAGTAGCTCAAACTTACAATGAGACATAGCAGAAGATATGTACTATTTGTTCAACTATTCCAAACTAGGAACACGCAACTGCAAATTCTCCATTTTACACAAAGAAAAACTAGTAGCTCAACCTTACAAATACAGCTGAAAATCTGTCCATTTCTGTTCACTATTGCAAAATAGGAGTATAGACATACGCGCAACAAAACCCATAAATGGCGAGAATAACATACTAGTACACTAGTGAATCTACCTTTGCATATGGTACCACACAAAAAATATGTTTTATCGTCAAGAAAGCAATAGAAAACAAATTCTTCATTGAAACAATCAAAATTGAATAATTTGATCATTTTCTTAACAAATAATTCAATAAAATGGACGTATAAAACTCCTATATACTGTAACAAACGAATGTACTACACAACCGTGCTTTAACACTTTACTACAGCGATAAAACACACCTGCAGGTATAAAATTCTGAAAACAATAACCATTTATACGAAAATAACACCCCGAATTCCTGACATTAACACCAACTTTACAACACCAACCAATCACAACACAACATTAACTCTACAACAACAACCCACCACCAAAATAACACATCAAACCTTGACAACATCATCCCTTCACCAAAACAACAACTTACCCCGAATTCCTGACAATACCAACTCTACAACACCAACCAATCACAAAACAACACTAACTCTACAACAACAACAACCCACCACCAAAATAACACATCAAACCTTGACAACATCATCCCTTCACCAAAACAACAACTACCTAACCTTTACAACACCAAAAACAACACATTAAAACTTTTACAACATCAACCCTTCAAGAAGGCGCCAAAACACATAAAATCGTAGACAACAACAACCCTTCGCCCAAACAACACACAAACCAAAACCTTTGACAACACAAACTCTTCACCAAAACAACATTTTAAAAATATCGACCATCTCAACCTCTCATGACAACAAAAAATATTTTTCCAAAAAATGACAACACATACATTCTTAAAACGCAATGGAATCACACAAAATATTTGACAACAACAACCACATCAACCCTTATCCGAAACAACATTTTACCAAAACAACTAGACAACATCAACCCTCCACCAGCACAACATGAATATATGTACACCCAATAGGGCGCCCTAATTCACAACGTCAAACCTTTTGCCAGAACAACATTTAGAAAAATTCTATACATCAACTGTACAAAAAAGTGAAGAGACAACCACAAGCAACACTGAATACTGATAAATTTATCATGCAAATTCGTTCAGTAACAATCTACAAATCTCATATAAAATAGACGTGTTTCCAAGCGAATTGTATTTCCATCTGAGTTTAGCAATCCTATTTATAAATACTTAACACTAGCTGACAGATTTTCAATGCTTTGACGACTGTGAATACGTTTGATGCATCTTCCAGAGAATACGCTTAATAGTGAAAATGGAACACAATAAGCTCTCCCTTTTCAAGAAGGCAATTTACGTCTTTAAATTATTTTTAAAAACTTCAAAAAACTACAGTGCATTTTAAAATAGCACTAAATGTAAAAAAAAAAACAAAAACAAAAACACGTGCACATTACCTCAGCAGCTATAAATGTTAGCGCTTCCTCAAATTCATTTTGAGGGGAATTAAAATTTAAAAACCTGTTAATATGTTTGTCTTTATCCATTTTATTTTAAATACATCCCGAGAAATGTTGCTGGTGCAGTACCTTGTCCTTACTTATTTCAATTAGAAACATTGAAATTTTGAGGATTTTTAAGAGTAAAGATAGTTGAATGAGAGAAATATTAGCAATGAAGATTTTTTTCATCTTATGACTAGATACAGTTATGACTCATGTCAAAGTAGATCACATGGGTCTGAGTAACATATTTTATATTTCATAGATTTTTTCTAGATAACCCTGCTCAGTCTTATTACCTAGAAAAAATCGATATTCGTTCTTAGTTCGATGTGCATATCTACATGATGCATCACTGCACTTAAGAACCTTGCAAATTAAAAATTATTTTGAATTAATAAACGTAAAATTTCAAGAGTTACTATAGTATATGTTCGACACCAGACACGAACGGTTGACCAGTGTGCAGTATAAATGTTTCTTTGAATTATATCATTTTATTGATACAATTGATTGTTAACATAATAATTTCCCACGTATGTTCGTTGATATTTGTTCTTTATGGAATTTGGCACACAACTGGCTGAATGGCAAGAGCCAGCATTTCTTTTATATTTGACCACACATTGGACTTTGGCTTTATGAAGAACACCATTGGTTAGTACACATGTACACGTCATTTCCGGTCGTCTGTTAAAAGTTTACTTGTTGGCAGATTGCCATCACTGACGTCAACTTCAAAGTCGTCTGCTTCCTTGTCTCCAGAATCCACGTGATTGTAACTAGAATAGAACTTCCTTCCGTAATCAACTTTATCGTCCCATCTTCGATACTTCCGCACAGTAGCCGCTCTCTTCTTTTTTACAACACAAATTACCACAATCAATAAAATAAGAGCACCAACTCCGCTACCAACCCCAATCGCTATTCGTTTATCAACGTGAGTCAACATTTCCTTTATTTTTTGACCGGTGCCTAAAGACTTCGTTCTCTCGGATGAATTACCAGGTTCTCTGTGATGATTTGGCGGAGACGGAATAACCTTCGAGTTTTCGATCCTCTCTTTCTCCTTTTGCTTTACTTTTTCAATTTTCTGCGTGACATCGTTGGATAATTTTTGTTTTTTGAATGGACCGTGGTTATCTTGTACGATAATCACCGAATCAATCACACGTTTTGTTAACAAATTATATTGCTCCCAATACAAGTGCGTCGAATTCATAATTTTCAATTTACCCACGCTGTTTAATGATTCATCTGTATTTGCAAAGGCAGACCATTCTTCTAGAAAACAAAACAAATATGAAGGATAGTAAGATTATTGGATACATTTATGATTTAATGCTCGGATTATTAAGTAATATTCCCGTTTAACACTGGCATCGATCCTCCGTGAAGGAGGTTATTTGACAGATACGCGGACGATCGAAAATTAACATGCAGTCTGGCTAAAGCTAACTATTTTATTAATACTTATGTAGGCAAATAATACAACCATATTGAACGCAATCACAAATTCTACAATTTGTAATGAATTTGGTTAGAACTGATTGATTTCAAAGTTGATTACCAATCTGATTAAAATGATCCGCGATGCTCCTTTTTTAAGATGTGTCGCTAACCTCGGAACCTGGTAAGCAACATACTAGTATCGTTGAAAAAGGAGCATCGAGGATCTGATTTTAATCAGAATGAGTTGATTACCTCTCCTGGCTTTTTCGTTGTCTCCTTTATACTTGCTCCCTGCTGCCCCCGAGATGAGCTGAACTGGTGCCTGTGGATTTGTATAATTCTTGCTGAGTACGACTCCTTTATACTGAGGCCACAGTCGCTCATAAGAATGCTCGTGTGCTTGTAGAACTATGTCGACTCCATAGTTGAAGAAAATGTCCTCTAATCTGGAATTAAAGTCAATGCCATCACATCAAATTTTTACCCCATCTTTGATTAAAATCGGCAAATTGTAATTAAATTTACAAATCAGTGATTGTTATCATGTCTACAGGCTATGTAGTAAAGATTTGTCCAAGAATTTATGGAAAATGAAAAAAAAACTACGTGATACTGTTTGCAAGATTTCTTTAAATAAGATATTTCCGTCTCCATGAGTGAAAAATTTTCGAGAGGGACGTTAAACAACAAACATTTTGAATTCATATAAAAGTTAAACTTAATTCTTTTGCTATTTTCACGATGGGCAGTAGGAATTCGATCAACACGTGATCAATATAAGACGAATCATATTGAAGATGCTTACCCGGCGCGAACTTTAGAATCTGCCTTTGTGCAGTCATCTCCATCACTATTGGAGCAGTACATTGGGCGGTGACCCAGAACAATGACCCACGGACAACGAGCTCTGTTGTCGTTTGCTTGCTTCAAATCTGCCTTCAGCCATTTTTCTTGTTCAGCAATGTATTGTCCATCGGACGTGAAAAACACTTCCGAGGAATAGCTGTTGGAAAGAAACCAATATTATATATACAGCGAAACTTGTCTAATCCTGCTGTTGTATATTCTGAAATCTTGTTTAATACATGTACAGTGTAAAAAAGATGTAAGTCCTTTTCAGTAAATTGCATCGTTTAAAATGTTGTATAATCCGAAATATTGGCCAGTTATGTCCGATTAGATGTTTTTTTATTGTAAGTACCTTAGTAGAGCATTCATGCATGTTTAAGGTTCGCGGTGAAATACTTTTGACTTGGTGTCGCGTAATCGAGAAAGAATTTACGTAAGGAGCGTAGAGACGTCAGCCGAGACATCACAACGAATACCATCTGAATACCATTCACAATGTCATTCATAATTTAATTTAAATCGATTAAAAGAATAACTAAAATATAAAAAAAAAATTAGAAAAAAAATTCAAACGCTTGTCTCTGGACCTTCTGATATATGGACTATATTTTGACATACCTGACAAAGTGCACTTGTCCTATGTCTATGCTGTACCACAATCTGTTTAGGGGGATGGGCCAGGATGTACCGGGCGTAGAAAACCGATACCGGTAATGGGCGAAACTGCCTTGGTCTATTTCTGTTTTAAAGTACAATGTACATGTGAATGTATATATATATATATATATATATATATATATATATATATATATATATATATATATATATATATATATATATATATATATATATATATATATATATATATACCGTAAAAAACTTTTTATAGGATATATTCGCGTAACACGAGAAACTGTCTGCACGTGATTTTTTTTTCATTCTCGTGTAAAATATTCTTCAGGATTGAAATGAACAATCACAAGAATTCGTAAAAATAAATAAATGCTTTTCCGTGAAAATAAAATGTAGCGAAAATATATGCTGAGTAGTGATTTGTGCGTTTATTTTGAAATAATACTAAGTTTGCACGGGTAGGAAGTGAAGTATTATATGTATATACAGCTTACCATGGTTTCCTGGAGATGTCAGATATTGCACTCTAGAAGAAAAATCTTCTATTAAACGTAAAAACGTGTCTCCTCTCTGTAAATACAATGGTGTATTTTGTATTTCATACACATTTTTGCTAATGTTTGAGAAAGTTTTACTAGATCAAAACTGGTTATTTATTTTAATTTAATCGGGAAATGAAAGTGCTACGTTTAAATAAAATATCTAGAGAGTGAAACTGTCTGTCACATCCCTCATATTTTAAATATACAATATTATTCAAGTGATTTAGGTGCAAAATTACAATTTTTCGGTTTCCTCTTTGTCCAATTCAACAACAAGCACATGCACAGTGTAAAATTTCTATAAAAGAATTTCACAACAAAGACAATTTGCAGGCATGAATAATGATGATATATGAAGTTCATAAACATGTAAATCAATACACATATATTGGCATCCCAGTTCCGCGCCTCATGCAACCAAAATTCTACGCCTTAACAACATGCATCAGTTATGATTGAGTCTGGTCTCACCTTATTTTCGCACAAATCCATGGACGTGTCATTTTTGTGCGTGTCATTTACTTGCTAAATTAAAATGGAAAATGGGGATGGAAAAAAGATACAAGTTAAATGGATATGCATGGAAATTTGTCTTGACAAGGTTGAAGTTTTTTTTAATTTCACAAACTGTTCAGGTATACTTTAAGTAAAAATATCAGAGAAGTTCATATAAAAGAGAAGCTTAATTTGAAGAGTTTCAAAATGAAATTTTACATAAATTACTTGAATAATTTTAAAGTTTTTATTGATAAAAAATGCAGGATTGCGCAGCATCAATTTCATTAAAATCCCTGACCAAAATGATTGCTGCAGTAACTTAGATTAAGTATGAAGAAAAACTGCAAACATACCTTTCAGTTTAGTTTATTAATATGCTGAGTAGCCATGAATTATGATAATTATAAAAAAAAATAGTAAAGGGTGGAGAAAGTGCGATAGAAAGAGCTTACCATTCCTCCTTCGTCCTCCATATTGTATGCAAAGTCACCAACGTGAAAAATTGACGTATATTTCCCTGACAAAGCTTCCGTTTCCAGAGCAGCGATCGCATCAGACTCCACGCCCAAATCCCCATATACCAAAAACTCCGGGCTCCAATCCTGGACCAAAAGAAAGACCTGATTAGCCTTTTTAGTTCTTAGTTTCAAACTCTAGGAAATTTTCTATGGTATCAGATTCAGGCTGTGAGGAGCCCTTTTTGGAAAATGAAAACTGTGAAAATATTGACGATTATGCATTCTTACATTTCAAATACTAGCTGTTAAAAATTCTTTAAGAATAATTTTTCAAGCACTTTCAACTTACATATCCAGAAGGCGGTGTCTTAAAGTAGAATGGTCCGCTGCTAACTCCATTGCTGGTAGGTCTGTAGAAATATGTCGTGGAACTACCAAGGTCCTGTTTAAGAACAACAGAATTTTTTTAACGTATACATCTCGAATTCTTTCATGTACATTTATAGAATATTTATCACTGTAAAAACCTCAGATATAAATAAACAATTCATACTAGCCATAAATAAATAAGATAAAGTTTTTGTTGTTGATTAATGTCCCTTTCGAGAATCTTTCACCCATATTGAGGCGTCAGTACTAGACGGTGGAGGGCAAAATTGTAAGGTCAATAAAAACTGATATCGCCACCTTAATGTCAATACGGTCCATTTTAAACGCGTATTTGACCTACCTTAACCTCAACCCTGTGGAGGTAATGCTTTCCGTTGGGGTTGGTTTCTGTAAACAGCTTGGTCTCCCCTTGGGCCCTGTGTGCTAATCCCCAGGGTCCAGGGCCATACTCTACCGAACTGGAACAATTACCGACTGTTGACCACATGATGACGACATCTGACACTTTGTCGCCAAACGTAATGTGGACTTCTTCTGGGTGACATTGTGCTGTACAGAAAATAAAAAATATTTGTAAAGAATGCTCTTGAAAAGTAGACCTTTCTTTTTCTTCATTAAATAAAGTTTTCTTACTTTTGGAGAATATTGTTATTTACGCAATACATGTCGTTAAATTCATTTGATTTTGAATTTTTGGCACACACTGAGCTTCTAAACATTCACCGCATCTACTGGGATTTTTGGTCTTTATCAAATGCATTTAGAAGGAAATAGTAAGAGTAACATCGCAATTTTACGATGGATATCTAAAAATCCGTTAATTAGATTTAGGGGGAGGAGGTAGTAATGGATATTGTATCATCAATTTGTCGAATGGTTTGAAAACAAGAATTACTGTAATAACTACTATTTTGTAATAGATATTACAGTTAGCCAAATTAAAATTTAGAGTAATCCGAGGTCTTCCTTGCTAGACAAGGATTTCTGAACTTCTATTCTCCTTTAAAAAAACCTAAGAGTTTTGAGGAGAGAAGCGGATAAAAATTGGCTGGCGAAAAGGCTCTGGGTCAAAATTGGACTAAATTACTGTTTCAACCAAGATTAAAAAAAATGAAAAATAAATGTTCTTTAATTTGCCTTTAACAACAGTTTTGTGGGGGGCAAGAGGGTGGGAGGTGACAATAATTTGAACATATTCTATGTTTAGTAAAATCAATTAGTAACAGTTTTTGTTTTGGTAACAGCTTTTGATAACATCTTTTATTATAGTAACGAATAGACTGTGACATGCCCAGGAGCATGTAATGACAGTGGCCTATACTTAACAGCTCTAATGGTACATCGCGATTTTATACTATACATGTACTGTAGTATATGCCTAACAAACCCTGATTTTCATGTTACAACGATCTAGAATTTAGTATCATTTTCTTTATAAAATAACGTTTTATTCTATTCAATCATTATAAAGCAAAATAATCTAAATCATGCAATCGAGACATTGTTCAAAATTTTTATACTTAAAAAAAAGAGATGGTGGAGTAAAGGTGCTTTTTTTTATTTTACGTCATGCAGAACTGAATATTAATTTAATTTCAATCGATATTTTCATCTATTGGTGTTGAACTTAAAATAAAAGAGAGAGAGAGAGAGAGAAATGTTCTTTGTCCAAACACAAAATATTTCGTGTGTGTGTGGTGGTGTTCAAAACACCACCACTTTCCACAAGGATTTTTTCTACTTAAATTTATGACATGGACGACAGACAAACATTAAGGTAACATCTGTCACCGACTATATCGATCTTCTAAATTTTCAAAAAAATAATTCTTCGTCATATCGTCTTCAAATTGCTTTTATTGATCAACCTTCAATTGGTTATGATTTATTTTTAGCATTGGCGTCGGAAGCAAATTGAAAGTAGGGACGGGTCTTTGCAAAGGAGGGGGGGGGGCTAAGTGTACAAAAAATTTTTATTTCCCAAACACGAAATTCCTATTTCTTGAAAATTCTGTATTTGGTGGTGGTGAAGGGGGGGGGGGGGGGGGTAGCTTACGAACTCCAGTACAGTCCATTTTCCCCATCTTTAACCTATACTACGACGTATCTGGGGGGGGGGGCTAAACCTACGAAGATATGCTCAATGTCTATACTTAGTATATATTTGGAAAAAAAAGTAAGTTCGGGGGGGCAGAAAATTGAAAAATAAGCCCCCCCCCCCTATTTTTACCAACACTCGTATAGCGTGCCACCTCCGACGCCTATGTTTAGCATACTCAATGTTAAATGAATATTGATTTTAAATAGTTTAAGAGCATGCAATATAAAGACAACTTGAATGGGGGGGCATAAAGAAGTACAGAATAAGAATAAAAGCAAGAGACCCCCCTTTCACTTTCCTTTTGAGGTTACTCTCTGCGTGCAAGTTATTTATTTTACCAAATTATTGTATAACATTGAGATAGGGCAGCAGGGACCCTTTTACAAATGAACTTATGACTAGGACCTACATGTAATTTGCTTATAATTTTCCAAAGTACATGAAATTTTATAAGGATTTTAGAAAAAAATGTATTCATGCTATCAATCTTAAACAGAATAATTGGTTTTGGCAGAAATATGCTAACCACGAAAGTTTTTAGTCTTAGTCGTAAGTTCTTTTGTCAAACTGTATCTGCAGACTCGTCCTTGAAAGTCTAACGATCCTATCAAAACACCGATATAATTTTCTACGACGCTCTACAGGCCGGATGGTTATATGCGAAGGGAGTAAGGTTTAGAATAAACCATTTTTCATTCATAGAAAAAAGCATTTACAGTGTCATAACCACGTTGAACATGCTGTTTAATTATACCCTTTTTGGTCTGTAGATTTATATAGGGAACAAACAAAAACAGAACTTTAAATACACTCGTCACGTATTGGCATGCAAGGTTTAGAGTATACATGTATTTAACAATACAGGAAATAAAAATAAACTTGTTTTTAAAATAACTACTGATGTAGTATTACAGCAGCACAGATAATCAAAACGAAACCTTTATAAAATAAAGTCTTCCAAATACGTGTGTGACTTCAGTGCTACAGCTTGCACAAATAGATGTCCTTTTAAGTTATAAAAGTTATGAGATCTTACCTTCCTCTATATGGACTGAGTGTATCCCAGAAACACATAAAACGAGTATAGTCCAAAATACTGAAAACATCATGTGTGGACTAAAATATTACAAAACACGGCGTATTCGTCCTATGGTGGATAAGTATGTGCACTGTTCTAAATCATCGTGGAAAAGTCCATCAGAGCTCTCTCGTTTTTAGCCAGCTGTTACACTGTAATCAAATCGATTTTTGCGATAGCTTGTCTGAACCGGGACACGTGATATAAAAGTCGGATATTTAATAAAATGGTGCATGAGACATGTAATTCTGTTTGAGGAAAACAGAAAATTTAATCAAACATCTGAAAAATATTTGAACTTAAAAAAAAAGATTTAAATCTCCATTCTGTGAGATTTTTCCTTATATGGATTAATATCGCTTGAGGAGGGATACTTTGAATCTCTTTGTATATACATATTTGCAACACTGATCAAGCATGTAATGTGCTACATTAATATCGTACTAGACTGTATATCGTTCGAAAAGATGGCTTATAGATATATTCTTAATTCGAGACCAAATAAGAAGTTTAAGAAAAAGCAATTGCGTTTGCTTCCCATGTTTTATCAATCTTTATATGTATTCATTCAAATATTTTACTGACTTTGAAAAAATAATATCTAGCCTCATTAAAAAGAAAAAAAATTGCACATATACTGAGCGTCCATACTTTTTACCAATCTGATTAAAATGCGCTTTGCCCTATGTATAGAGATTCCGTATTTTAATCAGATCGCACACATTACATTATAATGATGTAACACAAAAAAATCATACCCAAAGCTCAAAGGAAAAGAAAAACGGACAATTTCACGAATCTGAGATTTCTAAATAATTTGGGTTGTGGGTATTGTCATTTATATGTCAGAGCGTTTTTAACCACCCCTCTGCCCCGTAAACCATATCCATGCTTAAAAATAAAATTTTCAACTGTTAATAAATTAATTTAGTTATTTCAGGTTTTTTTTCAATATGTCTATCTTTTTAACTGTCACAACTCACTATATGTATTTTATTAATTGTAGAAGTGTATTACAATTGTGTTTTTAATTAATAAAGATGATATAAATCGGGAAAAAATCCATTTTTCTATATATCTATTTTCTGTAGATTATCAATTAAGCTTTCCTATCTTTAAAATCTGACTGAAAATAAACTAGAAATAAAACCTCCGGGGAGAGAGAGAGAGAGAGAGAGAGAGAAGAGCAGACAACTCTTGGTTCTCGCACCTGCTCACTAGCTTCCGGTTATACGGTGACTTGCGCATGGAGAGCAAACAGAAATGTCACCTGTGCTGATGTATTCGCAAGAGCTAAAGATGGATATATAGAAGAAATATTTATTTGTTTCTAAGGTTAGTCCACCATAATTCATACCCTATAGTTAAAAATCATAAATCATTTGATGTCGCAGTGAAGAAGGTTCTGAATTTCGCACCTGTTTATGCAATCCAATAAACATGTCTATTTCACTTCCCGTTCACATCACGGAAATCATTGCCAAACAAATCAAATATAATACAGTGTTTTTCTTTTACATTTGTATATGTAGAAGTATAGAATAGTATACTTTAATTGCATCAGGTGTAGTAATATGTAATAAACATGCATGACATAATATAATTATATACATGTACTTTCAATTTGTATACCTGTATATGTAGGTGTTAGTATATGGGGGAAAACAACATTAAAATACTGATATGGATTTCTTGACATGTCCGACTTCACCTAGCTATAGATTATCTCCAGGATAAAGTTATGCATGCAGTGACTAAATTGGACCAATTTTCTAAATCCTAATGAAAATTTTCTAAATTGATGATTGATGTCAGAAACTGTAAAAATCAATGTCAAGATCATATCTTCTCTCCCCTTGAATTATTAGGCTCTGGACCATTTTTTTAGATCATGGAGAGTATGCAGTGACATAATTTTTTTTTTTAATGAAAGTCCAATGTCAGAAAAGCTCTTCATGAAATCCATATATGGAGCAATTATTTTCTTTCCACTTGGCCCTACCTGCTTCATACTTTCTTCACCATCCCTGGCACAACCAGTTATAAGTATGTTTTACTATATTTTCTTTAAATCTCTTCTTGAAGGGAGGGGAAAAAAATTAGTTTTTGCCAAATTAAACATTTATTTTTGCATTGAGGACATCACTCTATCAATGGATATTATACATTATAATAGCAGAATGTCACTGTTAAAAATGGTATATATTTGTAAAAACAGTTAAAATGGTTTTTTTTAATCTGAAAACAAAGAATTGTAATTTAGTTGAACTTTGGTATCTCGAACACCTGTATCTTGAATACCATGGATATGTCAAAGTGATTTTGAAGTCCCAATTACTTATTCTTAAAGTATTTTACCATCCATATTTTGAATCAGCGGATATCTCAAAATTTTTTCTGGCTCCCATTGAGTTCGAGATACTGAGGTTTGACTGTATTATTATCTTCTTCTGTGTCCTATACACTGAAGTAATTCAGACAGACAGACAGAGTACTTATCTGAAGTTCCCTTTTCTTACCTAAGGCATGACTATTTAAAATTACACTTGGGTAATCTGAAGGAAATGTTTGATGTGAACATATATACTTTTCATAAGTAATCAAATAGTAATGTTAACGTTAGTGATAACATCTCCAGACTTTATGGTTCAATGATCAGATAACATTGAACCCAGAAATTGGTCAGCAATTCATGTAAATTAATTAGATTGGCACAATGTGTATTTATATACATATCCATATTATTGCTAACTACATGTATGGGTTATTCCTTGCATACATGTGTCATAAATTGCCTGCTTTTAAGCAATGATCCACTAGGCTTGGGCAAACAAAGGGCTTTAAATCTTCTGTTGTGTAAACATCCTGCGGATTTAGGTTGAAGAATAGACTTGATAATGTAGACATGTTTTTTCTTCTTTCTTTTTATGTAGATGAAACAGGAATTACTACAGACAAGAACAATTTGAAAGTGGATGTGATTAATCAGACTTCAATATGAGGACTCCATACTTAGCCATAGGTAAGAGTGTCTTTAATATTGATAAAAGTCTGATTTCGAAAAGCATTGATTGAAGCAGCAATTAAAATTGTTATAATGTTATCATTCCATGTCAAATTTTTATATGCATTAAATTTTATTGTGAAAGATCTAGAGAGTCAAGTCACCTTTTACATATATCACTATAAGGAGGGTAAATTTTTTATTTCCTTTGGGTTAATTGAAACTGTACAACAGATGGAGATCAACACTGTCATAAAAGTCAATGACTTGATCTTTAAAAAGTTAAAAATGATAAGAATTATAATTGTCAGATATTGCTGGATTTTATTTTTTTTGGGGGGGGAGGGAGTGTGATAAGAAATTTTTTAATTACATGTATAAATTACTGGAATTTAAATTTTGTAACACATACACTATTGATTTGCTTTGGACACAATTTTAAAGCTTCTTTGCTTTTGTTTTACAGGTTTTATATTCATCACAATATGTACATCTTATGCTCAAGGTAAATTGATATTAAATACATGTGAAAAAAAAGCTATGAAATTATTTTTATAAATGTGTGGTTATTAAAATAAGTGAAAAGTATTATGCAAATTGTGTTCAATCTGTTTCAATCCCTAAAATAATAACTAATATCATTCATAAGAAACATAAATAGATTTGGAAGATTTGTTTTTTTAAAAGTACCTTGTATTTGCAAAACTTTTTTTTTTAATTTATGATTCAATTCTCATCTTTTTTAGGACTCATAGATATCTGCAAAACAAACTACATAACTCTGCCATTTCCTCAAGAGCAAGGCATTGTGGGAGTGACAAGTGGCACTGGACCGACAGAAAATGGTCCGTGTCTCCTACGCATTAAAGGGTGCTCACAGTGCCATATCTCAATACATCCCATTAATGACTGGTACCTGCCGTGTTCCACATCAGTCCCCCGCTCACTAAAAGAGTGCACACCAGAGTGAGTATTTTATAATTAAGATCTGAGATTTTTCAGTCCAGTTTTATTTATTTGTTAGTTTTTAAGTCTAGAAAAAAACCAAATGTGTTTATCATAAAAAAGATCATGTGAAATTGAAAAGGAATAGTCACCACATGTTGGCTTATCACAGCTGGGAATTGTTTTTTATGTTTCAAAGTCAGTATTACCCCCTTCCCCAGACATACAGATTATTGATGTTATAGTTTTGTCAAGATTCCACCTTACTACATGGTCACTACATTTGAATGCAAGTTAACTATGAGCATTCAACAATATCAATCCATTCCTTTTCTGAGTCAACACCTTCATGTAATGTTTCTTAAATTCATTATTAATGTAGCCTATAGCCTATATCACTCAAAGCAAAAGGATTTTCGATCCCTGTAGCCTTTTAAAAAAAAACGTACTTGTATTATGAACTTGTCAGATATACCAGTGTTAATTAGATATAAGATGAATCAAAATTATTAGTCGCTGGCACTTAACTATAAGTTTCACTGTACCATTTTTTATCTTCTTTTACAGCTGTTCCTACCTGTTTGTGTTTGACAGTTCCTACCTTAATGATTCTGTTAAGTTTTACAATCAACACAGTGGATGGGTTGGGGGCCAGTTTAAGTCCGTTTCCAGTGCAATATTCGTGGGACTGTGTTCTCAGCAAGCTCCGCCCAATATTTCCTTACAGTTCAATGTTATTCGTAAGTATCAATATTTAAAGAACCTAAAAATTTCAAGCTGCATAAAACCAATTTCTTAAAATTTTGATGCATTTAGGCTGGAGGGAAAATGTAGAGCCATTGAATTTCAAGTTTTATTAAAACCTTGATAAAGTTAGACAGGAGGGAAAAAGTGTAGAGCTAGCAAAAGAAATTTAAGTTGCATCAAAGTAAATTGTATGATCTGAATGCAATTTGGCAGAAGAACTTTTTTCATGTAATTTTAAATATTCTTTTCTAGCCAATAATCAGATTCTGACAGATAGGACTGGGTACATGCGCTCTCCTAACTTTCCCAGCGGCTACCTCCAGAATGGGGACCAGTATACCTGGATTATTAGAAATCCAGAGTATTCCAAAATCCTGGTGATATTTGATGACTGGCATATATCGCCCTACAGTGAAGTGTTTGTAAGTAAAGATCTTCCTTTACATTCAGACTGAATAAAACTGATTTTAGTTTTTTTTGTTGAGCTTTTAATTTGAAATCCAGTCAAATCTCGTTATCTTGAACTTGATGGGACTGAGAGAAAAAATGGTGAGATATCCAAACATTTAGACACGTATAAAAAAATCGGTTTGAAATATTAAAAAATTAGACAAATCAATTTTAAAATCCATGTATAGAAAAAGTAGTTTGGACCTTCATCTTACTGAGACATATCCATGGTATTTTAGATAACTGTGTTGAAGACATGGAAGTTCAGCTGCATTATTGTTGTTCATAACTGCATTTTAAAAAAGAAAGTATAAGTGAATGACATAAAGTAGGGATGTCAATTTTACTCGGACAGCTTAGTCGAATAGTCGGATGCTTTAGTCGAACGATAGTCGATTATTCGTTTAAATTTAAAATAATTTTTCATATCATTTTCATTGTTTGTCTTTTACTGACTAGTTTACAATATTTAATCTATGTTGTCACCATTATACAATGAATTTCTGAATTGTTAACATGTTTGTAGTACAATAAAAACTGTACATCAATATGTACATGTACCCAGTGTATTTAATTTCAAAATTACTATATTAGCTGAATTGTTAACATGTTTGTAGTACAATAAAAACTGTACATCAATATGTACATGTACCCAGTGTATTTAATTTCAAAATTACTATATTAGCTGCACATTTTATCTAAATGCAGAATATCAAAAATGTCCTTTCTTTACATAACGGTAGTACATGTACCCCATAATTGAGGCCAATTTCTATGTGTCCGTCAATGATCTTTGACAGGTAAACAATTAAAAAGTGTCTCTTATAAAAACAAAGAGAGAGCGAGAGCTTGGGATATATTTTAATTATGAAATTTTGTGCAAACAATCAATGATTGAATAAAATCATTATCAGAAAAAGAAAACACGGTTTAATTACTCTCATAACTGACCCCAACTTACATGTATTTACAATTTTGTAATAGCTGTTTAATTAGAATTCTTTCTGAATAGTTGTATCACGTCAAATCTTAGTTTGAATCTACAAAACTAAACAATTGCCCTCTCCCTTTAAAACAGTAAGAGGTAGACAATCATTAATAATAATTATTTGTGATATTTCTTTCCCACTCTGCTTTTTTGTAATTTTTGTGGAGAACGTACTTTAGGAAAATTTCATTTGAAGACTGTGTATATGTTTGACTGATTCGGCATATGATACATCATGTTTGATGTTACACTGCGCTGCAGAATAAAAGTTCAAATTCACATAACCTTGATAACAACCTTTTTTAAGCTATACCAAAACTGTAGATTTTGAAGATATGTTTGCCGAAGATACATCGACGTACATACTTTGAACAGTTATACCATACCCTTAATTTTACATATGAAAATATTGATCTGTAAATAAATGAAATGGGCAAATATAAGTTTATTGCCTTGAATTCAAAATTACTTTGATGAAACACAATTTTAACAATTGACTAAAGAAAAGTATAATTATCGAACGATAGGAGAGATATATTAAATTAGTTTGTTGTTTAATTTGAATATAAATATTCTGTATGTGTGTGTTTTCAGTACTTTTTACAGAAATTAAGGTCATTTTTAACACAGACATCACTAGAAGTTTAAAAATAAAATTCAAGTTTAAATACACTTTTTACAGAGGTAAAGAATAATTAACTCATATAATGCTACCAATTTCTAGAAATAAGGTCAAAGAAATAAGTCAAATTTGTGTAATCTGGATGATGTGAAATTTGAAGTCTTGCCTATTATGGGGAAAGCTTTCAGTCTTTCTGTTAATTCAATGGTTTAAAATGTTGAACAATCTAGAATGTTGTCTAACCCAGCAAATTTCTATGAAAATTGAATGCTGGTCTGCAGATAACACAAGTTTTACTGTCATAGTGTTTCAAAAAATTTTTAACATTCAGGTTATTATGGTTTTTTGTTCCATTGAATAGAAATATTGTTAATGTATGTGTTTCCATGTGTATTTGGATTTTTATATATTAAAAAAAAAATTTTCTATTTCTCAGATGGAGATTCTATCACAGTTCCAAGATCAAGTGAGAATTTCATTCATTATATCCAATATTCCTTGATTCATGTGCATGTTTCAGTCTTGGACAGTTCTGAATTCCATAATTAAATTCAATTGCATATCAAAGACAAACACTGTGCAACTTAATGAAAATCTATCCAAGGACATAAATTTTAAGTTTTACTTTTTGAAATTTACTGGGATTATTTTTGGACAAAAATACATGATGTGTTTAACTAAAAGGATTTTGATAATGTACATGAAAATTATTATTTTTATTTGATAGTTAATCACTGAAATCTGTTGATTTGCTGCACTTGCCAACAAGATTGCATAACTTCAAAAATTCATGTAAAAAATTTTAAGACACCATGCACCTTAATGATGACATGCCTTTTACTTTTCACATTTTCAACTTCTTCTCAAGAACCACTGGGCCAAGACCAAACTTGGTACAAAGCATCAAGGAGATAATGTGAACAAAAATAGGGTGGGGTCATTGAAAAATTTCAGACTGAAATTTATATGGAAAGTATGATTTGATCATGACAGGGAGGAATTATTCAAAGTTTTACATAGAAATATATAGGAAAAAGAAATTTTTAAAGATGTTGAAACTTATGTGAAGTCTGGGGTAGTGTAGATTCTAAATTAATCAATTCATGACCCCCTTTTGATAGGATCAAAGTTATACATAGAAATATATAGGAAAAATCTTTGAAAATCTTCTTCTCAAGAACCACTGGGCCAGAAAAGCTGACACACTGTAGTGTAAGTTAAATTGTTCACAGAAAAGGGCGGGGCCACAATGGGGAATCAAAGTTTTACATAGAAATATATAGGAAAAATCTTTGAAAATCTTCTTCTCAAGAACCAAAAATGAAACTTATGTGCACATGGAAGGATCCTGGGGGTAGTGTAGATTTCAAAATGTCTAAATTATGAAATTTCATGTATTACAAAAATTAAAGAACAGAATTCAAAGTGTGTGGCCCATGGGCCTCTTGTTATTGCCTGTGTTTGCAAACATTTTTTTTCATAATCATTTGATAACAAATGGCTGTAAGCATATGAAAGAATCTTCATACGCTATATTCTCATATAAATGTGTGTGAATCAAAATCTAATTTGTTAGATGACAGTAATGTACATGTACCAACTAAATTTTATTGTATGGTTAAATGGTGTCATAAAGTTATTTAGAGGATTTCTATCTTGTGCAGTTGGTCATGGTGATCAGAAAGTGGAAGTTCGAGATGGATTGACCTCTGATAGCCAACTCAAGGACACAGTTTATCCCAACAGGGTGTACAAAAGCTTCAATGACACAAACAAGGGTTTCTACATCCGCTACACTGGGACGCTTAGACCGATGGACAACCTTAAGATCGTGTACACCTCCTACAGAGACCGTGGACCCACTGGTCAGTTTATAGTTATAATGAATTCCCCTCTGTTGTAGTTCATCACAGGTTAAGGATACAAAAGGTTAGCTGAAGCACAAAGGCACAAGATTGGAAGTGGTAACAAATATTGGCAAAAGCCACAAAAATTAGCTTTTGGCAAAAAATATGTGTGTAATTATGATGTGTAATGTCTGACTTTGTTTGAAGAAGATAACCATTCATGTAAACCTCTTTAATTTTAGCCATTGAAAAAAGAGATACTGTAGATCACTTATTTTTCGCGACACCTTATTTTCGCGAGATAGTCATTGACTCTTTATTAGCGAGACAAAATTTTCACAAATTGTGGTCATCGCTCTAAATAATCTTGAAAAGAAGAAAATTTGTAATTACGCCTATGAATAAAAAGTGATTTACAGTAATTTTTTGCTCTAAAAACCTGTTCCTAAAAAGAGGAGAATATGATGAGCCTATGGTGACATGTTGCCTCTGTACTATGATTAAATGTGCTTACTGTGTGTAACCACTCATGCCATAGTTTATTTATTTATAGACTGCAGCAGAATGGGAATGTTTTACTGTAACAATCGCAGATGTATTCCTTCTGAGCTTGAGTGTGATAGATATAACCATTGCGGGGATAATTCTGATGAAATCAACCCCAAATGTTTAGGTGAGGCATTTAGCCATTATCATTTACTGTTATATTGGGTTCATTATCAATTTCTTGATCCATGGTATTAAAAACAAATCATCAAATATCTAGTTATAGAAAATATGCACAATTCTTGGGTAATGAACAATAATTTATTCTTTAATGTATATTTTAATACAGGAAATAGTTTCTCTTCTTTTTAAAAAAATTGCATTTTTTGCTAAGACTTTTTTGTGTATGAACTGATTTCAAAATCTATTTATATCTGATTGACCAGGTGGAGGATCCGGTTATTCTCGGAGCACTAACTACACGATGACGGTCAGTGTCATCGTTCCACTGGTCATCTCTGTTTTCCTTCTTGTCATCTTGTGCGTTCTCTTCTTCCTCATAAGACGATGTCACATTGCACGAGCGCGGGAGATGGACCGAGATGCAGGAATCCCCACAATCAGTGGAGGAATAAGTAATAGAAGTAAGGGAATTAATTTATCTTATTGAAAATGTAACGTCCAAACATCAGGCTAAAATATTGACAAAGTACTTACAAGTGATAGAAAGTAAAGGAGAAAATTTAAATGTATCTCACTGAAAGTTTAACATCTAAACATTGATCAAAATATTTGACACATTAAAAAAATCCAATAGTAATTAAAAAGAATAATAGTAAATCCTTTGTAATGCAAGTTGATTATTGGGAGAAACAGTTGTTGTTAAGAATTAGAGAGATAGTCATGAAGGGAAATAAAAAAAGAAAAGGGAAAATATTTTTCTCTTGAAGAGAAATACCTTAGATACATTGTAATCAAGAGTTGTTTCCCTTTTAGGAGGTCGTAGAGGAAGACAGCCTCAGAGACCTGTGGATTTCCCTCCCACCTATGAGGAGGCACTGGAAAGTCCCCCATATGAAGAACCTCCACTGGTAAATAACCAAATTCCTGTTTATTACAAAGCTTTAAACAGTTCTTTTAAAATAAAATTTGAATAATTTAGATGTAAAATGTATTGATTCAAAATGATTCATAATTTATTACCAGGAATATGAAAATGGAGTACTGAAACCACCCACGTACCATGAGGCGGTGGGACAGGTGGTGGAGGCACCACCAGAGGATAACATGGAGGAGGACTATCCACCACCAGAATTCAGCACCATAGACCGTCAACCTCCAAGCTTTGAGTCCCATACATCTAACGCTTCTCCTGCAGAGAGTGGTGAAATAAGACCTGTTAATCATACATACAGTATGTCTTACAGCTCAGAGTCATCCACGGACATACCTCTGAACCGATCTGTACCAAAAGTTCATGGTCCCTCTTATAGTGAGGTACCTCATCAGGGGTCCAGAACCTCAGACAGGGAGAGGAGTGAGCAAGAGTATAGAGAAAGGGTACCCAGTGGATCAAAAGATGGAAGACAATTAGAAAGAAGAAACTTTCATCCTCAGAAACAAAATAGTGAAAATGATGTGAGAGAAAATTCAGAGAGAAAGCCTTATGAAAATCATTCAGATGTAACACAGTCTAGGAAAGGAACACCTTTGCTCATGCAGGGACTAGAGCCTGGGAGAAAGGGAGATATAAGTTCCACTGCAAGATGGAATATGTCGGGCAGTCCATCAAGACAGAATCCTAACCAATATTCAGATTCTCCCAAAAATCATCCTCATTTCAAGGAAGACAAATATCACAAGAATGAAGATCTGAGGGAAAGAAAACAAACAAGGTCAAAAGAGGATCGGAAAAACAGAGCATCGGACAGCAGCTCCAAGGATTTGCTTTTCAGTGAGGATCACTTCACAGATAGAGAGCATAGGGGTGTATTGAATCAAGGTTTTAGAGATTCTGAAGATCGGTCAAGAGAATCACCACCAAGGACAAACTCAGCCAGCCTGTCCAATTTGCATCCTATAGAGAGATGGACAGAAGACAGAAGAGGGATGGCTACATCATTACAGCATCTACCCACTACACACTGTGTTGCCTCTAGGAGCAGCCTTACTCTGGGAAGTTCAGACCATCCCATTGGAGGATTGGCAGGCTGTCAATCAAACATTAGGCAGGAGGAGGGAATGAGCAAGCCACGCCCCCTAGAGAAGGACCGCCCAATATCCCTCTCTGTGGGAAATCTACCCAATCGCTCTCATCTGAATCCAGAGAAAACAAGGAATCAAAGGTCACCTGAGAGTTCATACAGAAGGTCGCTAGGAGACCTGAACCAACGTCTGAACAATCAAGTAAGCAGACGACAAACTCAATCTCATGGTGACTTGTCTAATATTCAGGAGGAAAGACATATTTCTTTGGCCTGTGACAGTGAAGATGTTTTTGTCTGAATACTTCAAAAATGTAAATTTGACTTTATTTTGAAGCATGTATTACAAGCATGTGTATTATGAATTCAGTTTTTGTACATGTATATGTATCCAAGAATCTTCAGGTTTTATGTTTAATTTTCAAATTAATTTTACTGGTGTTGTCAAATCAGATGATTTTTAGTAACTGGTTAGGCACTTACTTTTCAGATTGAGTACCTAATTATTGGTCTCTTAACATTCTTCCTGGAAACAGATATTCAATAGTAACAAACCTTAACACAAACCATCTTCTGAATGCATGTAAATTTGGTCTTGAATATTATCACTCCAATAAGGGCATTTAGTTTTTGCTTAAGAAAACAGTCCATTTTGCATGTTCGTAATTCCATTTCATTTACAAGTACATGTATCTATAATTTGCAGATTTAAAATTACCATTTCTTTCGGGACCAAAAATGTCAAAAAATTCATTTCTATTTATTTACTCAGTTAAATATCCATACAAACTGCATTCAAGTAACTGAGTAGCAGTTTTACTAACTCATACAAGCATTATTTAAATATTTGACTGTATACACATGTAATTATATTTGAAATCCATATCATAAAGTATGAACTATTCATAGAAACGTACAGGTGTGCTATTAATGTGACCTTTTGTATTGTCATTGTATAGGTATATATACATGTATATACATATTAGAATGTGCTGAATTAATGTAAATTCGTAAACATTTGTTTATGTAACTTAATCGGGAGTATTTTAAGATAAATTAACCAATTTTTGCAGAGTGTACGCCTCTTCATCAATAAAGAATAGTGCCATGGCATGAGTTCATTAATTATATAAGACATATTTTTCTTGAAATACCAAAAATATCATTATTTAATAGCATTTTTTTTTTGAATTACATTTTCCTAAATGATATTTGTTTTAAGGTAAGAATTGTTTTGTTTTAGTGTAGATCTGCTTGATATTCAATTTGTTTTCAATGTCTGTGCTGGACACAGACATTTTTAAAGAGTTCATGCTAGGTGCTTTATTATTATAGTTACATGCATATTGTGTGTTTTAATGCTTAGAAGATCAAAGATCCAGAGCAGGTTGTTTTTTGTTCTGTTTGTTTGTTTGTCAAAAAGAAATGTATAAAAACTACAGAGATTTCAGGTTCTGTCATAATCAAAACTTCATGACAGATACTGTAGGAATTAGTTCAGTACAAAGAGATGAATTTTTGCAAAGACTTGTTGTGAAACTATTTGTTATCACTTTATCTAGTTTCTAAAAAAAAAACTTAAAAAAAGGGGGGAAGGGGGAATATTTTTGCTTGTTCCATAGATAGTATTGTGTAAACTACATCTGAAAATGAATGTGGTAAAGCTATATTGAAAAGAGCTCAAAACAAAGCTTTTTGACATCATTCTGTCTTAAAAAGATTATGTAAAATTGAAGATTGAAATACATTTATACACTACACAAAGCCACATATCTTGCTACAGTACATGTATTACAAAGTATTTGTGCATGTGCACCATACAAGTAAGCTGTCCATGTTATGTATTTTGAATATTCAGCAGTTTATTGATAAATGTTGTTGATGTATGAAGTACATTCCAAGCCTTGTTGTGGCATGTCAATTTTTACCACTATACTTTTATTTGAATTTACTTATCCAGAAGATTTTGTATTGAAAGGTGTATATACAATGATGCATATCAATTTTTTTGTTCCTTTCCCTTTTAAACAGATATTTTTAATGAATATGGAAGGTTGTGTATTTTTTTTTTACGGAACAAGTCAATTAAATTTATTTATGTTGAAAATTAAGATGTTTTGTTATTCGTTTATCAATTAGGAATTTTTTAAGGTACAAAACACAAATTCTAGACGCTGTTTAGCTAGAGCACCAAAGAATTTGGTGATAAGTCAATCACTAAATTTTATGTTAGAAAGAAAAGGACTTAGGAGGCTGTCCTTGATCAAGAAAATTGTTCTTTGTACCACAACTAGGAAATTTAATTTGAAATTTAACTAAAAACTTACGGCACACCCTTTTACACACAGGCAATTTATGGTTAAAGTTTAATGAAGACTACACCAAGGAGAGAAAATATTTCCACATAAGGACATTACACAGAGGTGTTTCTTTTTCATCTTGTAGAATTTTTTTTTCATTGTGACTGCATACTATCTATGGGTGGAGTATAACCCAGATTTGGCCAAGAGAAGAAAAACAATGTATTGTAAACCAACTTTTATTCGTGACGACTTTATTTCACGATTTATCGGGGGTAAAATTGTTCGCGACGATTAATTTTCGCGATTAAAACTTTTTTTGAATCTGTTGTTAATACAACAGAGACTTTCAGGACCGGTTCGCGGTGAGAAATATTTGCGATGACGATGCTCTCGCGAACCTCGCGAAAATTTCTCGCACGCGAATAAAAGTTGGTTTACAGTATTCAATAAAAAGTCAAATGATATAAGACGTCAAACAGACAGACAGATTACTTTAAGGTACCAAATTGTATGCTGGGTAGATACATTTTTTTCTCCCAATTTTATACCCCTTAACATTATCATTGCTAAAAGATGCTCAATAAGCCTTGTGTACAGTTCAGAATAAAAGACGTAGAAGGCATGGAACCTACATGTATATGTCTCTTTGCATACAATTACCAGGTAATTTAAAATGAATAAAGAAATCAATATTGGGAATTAAAATTCAATATTTTTCATTTAAAAAAATACACATGTGCTTGGCATCAAAAACAATGATTTTGACAACTTCTTTAAATATCCCCCTGAAATTAAAATAATGATATGTAACTTGGAATTAAACTCATGATAAAGTACATTTGTATTGAGATGATTTTGCTGGAAAATTCAATGAATCTTGATTCACACATAACTACATGTACATGTATATGTAATGAATAAAACTGGTAGAAAATATAACTTACTGAAATAAATTAAGAGTTGGCATCATTAGATGCGCACATTCATGGTTTGTCTTGCATTTTATGCAAAGAACAATGTCATACTTAATTAATTCACAACTTATGGAGAGAACAATCATAGGCATTTAAGCCTGCTGTTCAATCCAGTTCATTAATTTGAAAAGATATATTTTAACCCAATTCAAATCTTATAAAGTATGCATATTTAACATGTAGAACATTGTTGCAATTAATATTCCACATGTGGAAATATCTCCTAATTTTTCACAGCTAAAATAACATTTCTATACACTACTCTATCAAATAAAATGACGTATTAATTTGCAAATTATGTGAACAAAATTTTAACGTTAATTAAAAAAAAAAAAACAATCTTGCAAGCAAGTAAGTGTTTTCATAAAAATATCATACTCTTAAGGTTGATTTTTGATTCGGTGTTACATATTTTGATTTCGACAACTAATCCAAGAATCTTAATAAAGTTCATTTCCTTATTGCATGAAAAATGTCCATTCCTAATCGTTTGCAACTGTTGGATGTCCCAGGCCTGAAATCAGACTATCTCTCTTTCTCTCTGGGTTTTCCAGTCCGGCTGGCAATGAACACTTCTTGGACTTCTCACATTTCACTTTCTAAAAGAACAACCCACAACTAACTTCTACTCCATAGCTCTCTTTATTTCAGGTCCTCTTCTAATATTTGGCTGCTTTTCACTTTCATTTTCCTGGATCTTGATCTAAACCACACCAGCATCACTTAACTTCTCTACATCATCACCAGTCATCATCTAAATCATCACTTCAGTCATCATCTAAATCATCAACTCAATCATCATCGTCTTCATCATCACTTGGAACCACCTCTTCATCTTCTCCATAAAAGGACTGTGGTGAGCACAGCCAGTTCAGTAGAATAATGAGGATAAACACAGTCAGTCCGTACAAAGCAGTAAAAATGTGGTTTGTCTTGTGATGAAGAGAAAATCCTATGTACCTGAGGAAATAAACAAAGATCCAATATCAATTTTGAAAAGAATTGAAGCAGCCCCAATTTTTTATTTTAAAGTTTAAAGTTGTTTTGTAAAACATGGTCATGACACTGATGTGAGACATTTAATGATAATCTGACATTAATTATAATGAGAGAAGACTATACTTACCCCAGACTACATGTAACTATGACATCATTGACCCCGTCGTTATCAAAGTCCCCCACAATCAGAGGGGCCGTGGGGTGACAGGGGAGGGAGTGTTCTGCCAGGAGGTTACCACTCACCAAGTCCACCAGGACAAACTCCGAGTAACCACTCAGGGCCACCACATTCTGGAGTAAACAAGTTTTAAATACTTTATGTATAAGTAAACAATTAAGTCAATTTTATAGATCTTACAGTTTTTTGTTCACCTTAAATATGCTAACTACCAAACAAAGATGTTAAGAAATTACAAAATAAAATAATTTTTTTTCAAATGATTGACAATTTACACTATACATTGATTAGGCATATAAAATGTTTCATCCATAGAAAAGTATGTTTAATCAAAACACAAAAAATGGAATACATACCTTCTGACCATATACAGGGATAGACATCAGAACTCGACTAGGCCAGAATTCTTCCATAAATCTCTGGTAGGCCGGACGATCTCTTTCCTTGTTCTTCTTTATATCTACTGAGGCCTTAGCCCAGTTGGCTGGAATGGCAACCTATAGAGTTATAAGAGATCAATTACTTTAAACATACAATCTAACTTCATTATCCTGATCTCAATGCTTCCAAAAGAAAAACTTCTTAATATACCCATGGATTTGAGATAATGAGGCCCTTTCTGAACACAAAATTTCTTAAGTTCAAACTTAAATATGAGGAGGATTTAAATGATACATGTACTCATATGAAAACATCCTAATAATTCTTCTTGTATTAATAATAATTGTGATATTATTTGTGATCTATAATCAAAAAGCTAGAAAGACAAGGAATAGTTTACCATCAAGGATGGATTGTCAAATGGACATGTTTGATCTGATGCTAATGAATGCTGCTAAAAAAAAAAACATTCCTCTGTGGCCATATAAGCATGAGTTCTATTGAAATTTATCAGCTTGCTGATGATTTTCTGTGCATTTATCCACATGCAGTTATAAGATTTCCCAAATTAAAGTTGTCATTGTTTATTACATGTACCTGCCAATTAACATTTCCTTCTCTGTCCCAAGACGACACTCTGCCAACCCCTCCAAATGTAATGATGTCATATTTATGTGAGAACTTGGGAAGATGGTGACCCATTAAGTATCTCAGGAGTCCCGTTTTTCTTGCAACACTGAAAACAGACAAATACTTGCATCATTAACCAAACTTGATTTCAACTTACTGAACTAAAACACATATTAGTAATACTCAATGCGCATGTTCTTTGCATGTTTCTTTGAGCAAATCTCAACAGACATTTGGAAAAATGGAAATATAAATGTCTAAAGCAATATAAATTGATTACAACCAGTTTTGAATTGCTCAATCATTAGGTGAAATATTTAGTATTTTTGGTTACCTCTTTTCATTGAAATAAATACAGATGTCACCTATCAATGATTTGTGAGATGGAAGTTAAAGTATTCAAGTTCCAATGTTGATATCTTGAATTCTCATTTCTCAATATTTCAGAGTTATCAATCCCTCTTCAATTCAAAATACTGAGGTTAGACTTTACTTTCATTTTACCTTTTGGCAATAATGGGTGGTAATTTCTTCAAGTTATCTTCATCATAAGCCCAGGAGGAAGTGAAGAACAAACGAGTAATCCGACAAACTGGTAGCTGCTCAATCCGTTCCTTTACTGGATTAATCCGCCAGATCTCAATATAACAAGGACTGTAGTCATCCTGCTGACCCCAGAGGACCTGTTCAATTTCTCCATCTCCGTCAATGTCCAAGTACACCGCCCCATCTCCAGGAAGATGCAGTTCAGTGACAGGTCGTCCACTCAGTAGATTCAGGACCTCTATACCATTGTGGGTGTGGATAACCACTGAGTTGGGATTTTCTACATGTTCGTGATTACTGTGTGGTCGGTGTCCACCATAGGCATATCCGATAACGTGTTCAGGGGTCAAGGCCATTCTCTGGGAGGAGGGCGTGTCCGGCTGGCTGCTCTCTTCTGATTTTCTGAATCTTCCCAAGGTCAGCTTTGTGTCCTCCAGACTTCTCCAAAGATGAGGCTGTAAATAAAACATTTTCCAACATAAATATCAGTATATCTGAAGAATAGATTATCACTGCCAAAAACCTTAAGGCTTGTAAGCCAATGTAAGGATAGTTTAATTTGTTCATGTGTCGTACTCTCCAAAGACAAGATTGATACTACCGTGTATACTCGCCTATAAGTCGGTCCGCCTTTAAGTTGGTTGTACTTTTTGAGTTTATTTTGGAGGGATTTGCAATTGACCCGCCTATAAGTCGGTACAACTTTTTGACAGAATCATTTGACATTTTATATCAATGCACTGATGTTTTTAGCTGTTTTAATTAATATTTTTCGAAATAACGCCGATATTTAGTTTTTAATGATTAAACAAATATTTAATGCACAAAATAAAACCATTATAATAAGTGAATACTTGTACTGTTTGTATAATCTTTGAATGCATAAACTATTCTAAACAAATAGGCTTTGTTCTTCAGCAATTGTCTGAAATATATATGGAATGCTACATTTCACTTTACAGAAAAATACCAATATCTTGATGACTCGCCTATAAGTCGGACATAGAGTTTTGGACTAAAATTTAACTCCCAAAATACCGACTTATAGGCGAGTATATACGGTAATTAAAATATGGCAAAATGTAAACTTAAAACAATAAACTGCAAAATTCATACAAATGCATATCATATGCATGGTACTGGGACAAAAATGTATGACCTTAAAAGAAGAAAGATCTTTTCATGGAAAGCATACTAGTACTTGAACTCAACTTAGTCAAAATTGTGGTGCAGCTACCATAACTATGATATTACAGCATTAAAACATACAGTAAAACTGTTGAATTCCTTCTTGTACATTGTCCAGGGAGCCTCTCCAACATGGAGTCGGTGTCTTTTTAAAGCCAGCTTCCAGTGGTGGTCTCCATGGATATCCTACAAAACATTCATCACATCGAGAGAGGTCGGAGGAAATTTATTTATTCTCTTGAAGAGCATTACAAATTTCAAATCAAATATGTATTTCTTGCATTAGTACCTTGACGTTGGTTGCTATTTCTCCAAAATCCCCAGGTAGGTGGTGCCACCGCACTGTACCGTCTAATGCACTGACAGCAAAGGAGCTAAAGTGGGTCAGGGTGTTATCTTCTGTGGAGTTACTCTGCTGATCTTCTGTCTGATTTACACTATGAAGGTATATATATAGTACATGTACACTCAAACCCCATTATCTTAAACTCAATGGGACTGAGAAAAAACTTCCGAGACAGTTTAATTTTCTGTTCATATATATGTTTGTAAGTATAGTTTTTAAAAATATTGTTACCACAGTGCCCATATTGCCCCATAGTCAACAAGAGATGTTTGTAAAACACATATGCCCCCTTCCCCAAAATAACTGAAATTTTTCGGAGTCCAAGGGGCATAACTCTGTGCTCGATCCTACCCGAAACAACACTTGACCTAGATATTTTTATGATAAATCTGTATACCAAATTAAATTAAAAATGAAGGGAGACATAAAAATAGCAAATATGACCGTAAAAAAAAAATGTAAACCAACTTTTACCAAGGGGTATTTGCGAGAAATATCTTTATCTCGAGAATAATTTCTTCCCCCTTCGACCATAAAGTTTGCCATCTAATTTTAGAGAAAGTGTCCTCAGTCCCAAAAATTAATTGTCAAATATTGATTTCAAGCTGAAAAATCACAAATAAAAGAGTTCTTGAGAAGAAGATTTTATGATGATCCCACCCTATTTTTGTCTTTTCTTGATTATCTCCCCTTGGAAGGGGACCTTGCCCTTTATTTTAACAATTTAAACTCCCCATCTCCCAAGGATGCTTTGTACCAAGTTTGGATAAAAATAATAGTTGCTCTACAGTTATACGCAATCTTATAACTGTTCATTTTTTTTTTATAAGTATTTTTTTTATAAAATATCACAAATCATACCCTTACAAATCCTTACTTTTTAGGGGTGGTTGCATCTGGTGGTGCATGCACTAAGTGTGTAAAGCTACCACCCACAATCACCAGTCCCTGGTCAGTTTTCTTGACATTATGGGCTGTGATTAAGGCCCCCATGGCTTTAACCGTGTATGTCTCCCTCACACGACTGACATCCATAAACCTCTTATGCCACAGTAACTCCAGATTGTGATTGTAGCATAGGACCTGCCAATCATCTGTCACAACCACAACAATCTGAAAAATACTTATATTCTGGAAACCAGTGGGAAACATGGGATAATTTGCATAATAGGTTAACTAAACTGTGATTTCTTTAAATATTTAGTCTTTCAAACAGTTTAGTATGACTCAATAAATGGAGAGCATTACAAACCAATAATTTCATAAATAAAAACATTCCACAATTGACACATTAAAGATAATTAATTTCATAAAATGATCTGATTTTCATGACTTGCATGATTTGATATATTCTGACCATCAAAGTTCTTTCATGTAAATTCTTCAATAAAACTAATGTTCAAGTTCCTCTTAATATAGATAGCATCTACAGTCTTTAAACATAACTCCTGTAAATTAAGTAACAATATATTAAGTCAATAACCTTTGTTCTGACCTGTTTTCTTATTTGCATCATGGAACTGTAAGGTATGGTAAAGCCTGTCTCCATGGCTACAGGTCGACTGACTTCGGTGACGTTTATGGGTAGGACTGCTCTTTGTTTGACAACAACATGAGGGAGTGTATCGTCCTCCTCATCTGTCACAGGGTCTGGGAGGGCCAGAACATTTAACCTGTAGAAATCAGGTTAACTTTATGGAAACTGCATTTCTTGTCACAATCACTGACTTCCGTTACTAGATACTTAAATTTTTAACTTATGATTAGTACTGTTCTAAACTTAATTAAACTAAGATTAAAGCAAAAAGTATAAAAATGTATGCTTGTGATTTTGTTGTTGTTGTTGTTTTTTTTTTTACACTCTTTATTTTTTCAAAGAACTGTTATGAACAAATTTCTTAACAATATAGCTATTAAATACATGTCGTCTTACTTAAAGTCATGAGTTATCAGGAGGATTTCATTTGTTCCATCTCCATCCAAGTCTGTTATCATAGGAGAGGGGAGACGGTCATCAAGTGTAGGGTATATTCTGTTCATAAAATGGAAATAAAAAATATAATTTTCTTTTGATCAGATGTTTTTTTAAATGCTTTCTTTCTTTCCTTTCTTTAACCACCTAATGTCAATGCATAATTTTTAATATATTATCAATCAATGGAAATGAACTATCAAATTTATTATAATGAGCAAGCATATGTCTTTTAAGAAACAAATTAGCATGAGTGATCTACATGTAAATATGATAATCATCATGATCTCCTGTGAGGTAAAGAATACCCTGAACACTAACTTGTTGGTAAAATGATGAGGTTCACTTCTTTTCCTCCAGACTGGTTTCAGATTATATGAATCACTGGCTCGGAAGAGGTACGCAATGACAGCACACAGTAACATGAATATGAAGTGATTGGCATTGATTGATTTCAGCTTCTCCCAAAGAAAATCCATCACAAATGTTGAGTCCTTACATCATCTATATTCTATACTGAATTATGTACAAGAAAAAAATGTTTGAAACTCACTGTAAAATTAGCTGGACATACAGGGCTGACTGCTAGTGAAAGTTATCAGTTCTGCCAAAGTTGTATAAGCCCGAAAAAATAATTGTCTTTTATAAGTTCCTTTTAGCAATATTTTGAATGGGGATAGCTTACTATATATTCGATCCCAGACTTATAAGCTGATGAATTCTACCCGTTCGTTTGTTACACTTTGCAACCAGTAATCTTAGTTGATATGAGAGTTTTATCAAATATTTGAATTCAAATTTATGAAAAAAATTTACTCGTCCAGTCGGGCTTCAATACATGCTAATCTGTTCGCCCCTGAAAAAATTTGTGCGTCTCAGGCATTCAGGCGCATGGTTATTTCAAACACTGATTTAAAACATGTACCATTCATGAAACTTTTTCTTCCCTTCAAATTTCTGATACATATTAAGTTGTAAATTCTTTTCATGTATAACATAAAGTGCATGTAGATTAGAAGCACAAAACACATGCCAGAACAAGAGAGGACATTTCCTAGTGTGTTGTATTTTAATTGGACTCTCCAAGCCTTAAATATTTATACATGACTGTATTGTTATTTAGTAAATGCAAACTTTTACATGTAAAATTATAAGTTATTGATGTTTGAATTTCCGCATAAATTTATCGATAATATGGGCTATAAGTCAGTATATATTGATGTGTTACATCTATTGATAAAACTGTCCACTTCTGTGGTAAAAATACCAACTGAATACATGTGAAAGAAGGTCTATAGTATAGATACTAAGATACACAGGAACTGTGGTAGGTAATATATAACAGTAATCGTTAAGATCATTAGACATGACCTACCTATTATTCATAACTGAAATAATCACAGGTACTTGGGTCGTGGTTTATGTAGACTTACTTCGATCATGAGGACTTGAGTAACTGTTGTTGAACTAGAGTAACATCGAACCCGATATTGTTTAACTGGAGTGACGCAATTTTTCTACCATAGTTCTACCAACGGAAACACGAGGGTAGACCTATGTCAGAAAAATTACGTCACTCCAATTAAACTATATCGGGTTAGATGTTACTCTAGTTCAACAACAGTTACTCAAGTTCATGATCGAAGTCAGCCAATATATAAATATGTATGTACCCTAACCAGGTCCAGTCCAAAGACTATTTCTACCTACGTAGGTATTAATAGCTACGTAGGTATTTAAAGCTACCCAAAGTAGCTATTTTTACCTACTTTATATAATTTCTGCATTTTGCGACCAAAAGACAAAACGGCGCAACATGGTGAATACCATATTTTTTGATATGGTTACACTAATGATGAATACGACAAAAATTTTGCCAAAAAATGATTACTTCCTAAGTCGGCAATTTTACATTAGTTTCTATGCAAAATTGATAATATACGAAGTTTTCATTTTTTGGCCAAATTTTTGTCATATTCATCATCAGTGTGACTGTATCAAGAAATTTTGTGCTCACCATGTTGCGCCGTTCCAGCATTTGGCTACAAAATGCAAGTAAAGCAGAAAGTAGGTAAATATAGCTACTTTGGGTAGCTTTAAATACCTAGGTAGCTATTAATACCTACGTAGGTAGAAATAGTCTTTGGACTGGACCTGCTAACCAGCTATTGATATGTACTTTTTTAACATTATAAACTACGACCCAAGTACCTGTGGAAATAATAAGATGCTTACTTAATGAACTTGAAAGACAATTGAAATCTCGTATCTTTAGGTGTTTTAACTAGTAACTACTTTTCTCACTGCAATTTACGTCTATTTTCTGTTTCACAGCCGGCATACACTTAATGGGTAATACCAGAATATTTCGTAAAATAAACAAATTTTTGATTTTAAAAGGTTTCCTTCATATTATTTTACTTTTATGGTTTCAATGTTGTTCTTTCAACTGATTTTAAACATGAAAATCCTTTTATTTATTGCCTAGTATTTTAAATTTACTACAAAATGAATTGCATTACGACTGAGTCATTGAACAACCTGTCAAATTTTCAAGATGGAAGCGTTCTTAGCAATTTTTTGTCTTTGGTTGTAAAATTTTGTATATTTAAGGTCTATTCAAGCGAGATTAAGAGAAATGGATGAATACGAGGATGATGAAGGAAACATGTGGGACGCTGGACACGATGGAGGAGATGTAAATGCCTCTTTTATTTAATTTTCTTGTTTTTAGAGGCATGTTGTGTAAAATTGTATATTCAACTTTAGTTTTGAATGCCTCTTTCTTTGGTGGAAGAAAGTAAATATATAGATATACATATATCAATGATCAAACTGTTTTTAAATAGGCGTAGATGCAGAATATTCATTATATTTCGAAGGAAAAGGTTCAATATGAATTTCTATTGAAATATAGCTGCAATAATGCCCTCTCCGATTTTTTTCCTCTGTTATTTTCTGGAGAGGGCTACAATTCCACAGCATCTCCGTAATGGTGCAAAAATATTTTGTAAATACTGGCGACTGCAGGCAGAATAAATTGTTTTCACAATCAACTTACTTCTAATAAGACGAAATTTTTATTCACTGTCGACATCAAAGCTCGTTAAACGCGAAAACCATGTAAAATAAATCTTTTCATTTACTTCAGCAGCCATGACAGTTCACGCGTGACGTAGTGAGACTTGCATTTGAAATTTAGAACAACTCAATAAAGCAAATGTCAATGTTTATAAATAATTGTGATGAATAGTAACACTAAACATCGATAAATAAAATCATTCCATGTTTCATTTTTTTGTAAACACCGATATTTAAGCTTAAAATAAGGTTATTCCAAAGAAATCCGCTCCCTATTGATCCTTAATCTCATTGGCTGTCCCGAAATAAAATCTGTCAAGGTCAGTAAACATGGCGGATAAATTTAAGTTGTGATGTTGACATACACGAAAAATACTGATATATGGATTGTTCTGTATATTTTTGGATCGATTTATGTCTGGGATAACTACATTTTGGAAATCCAGGTAAGACATATAAATAAAATAGCCGTTTACTAACAATATAAGCCCAAATCTGTGCAGGAGCGAATCGCTCCCGCTCTGCACCATTACGGAGATCCTAAGGAGTTGTTGCCCTCTCCCCCCCCCCCCCCCCCCAAAAAAAAAAAAAAAAAGGAGAGGGCTACATTATTGCAGCTGATTAAAATAAAGACATGATACTACACTAAAGCATCTGGTCTCTAGTCATTTGAAATAAGTTTATATAACCAGTTTGTACCCAAATGAACCTCTTACCATGGAATCTGGATATGGGTGTAAGTAAGCTGCAAATCTGTAGCTTTCTGGTTTGAAAAAATTGGATGGATGACCAGAGAGCTAGAGTGCTACCCATAGAAAAAAACATGTATTTATTGCATACAAAAAAATGTGCTTCGTTCTGGATTAATTTCTCCAAATTCTCATTATCATTTTTTTGGAGAGCTACAGTTCTGCAGCTAGATGTGGGTTAATAATCAGAGAATGTTAAATCCAAAGGAACCCCTAATTTTGTTTTCCTCTTTATCCTTAGTGTCCATGTTAAATGAATGTTTGATCCAGAAGGGGAAGGCCCCTCCCCAAATCTTGTTCAGACTTCGAATTTAAGGATTTTTTTATTGTTAATAGTCACCAGAGGAAGATGAAGAGGATGAAGAAGAGAAATTTGCTGCACAGCAAGAGTGTTTGGACTTATTTTCTTGTAAAGATTACATTATGGAACCAGGAGTGTTTGGCACTCTGAAAAGGTAATGGAAAGGAAAGAAATTAAAAATGTGAAAAACATTGATGGATTTTTTCCCTCTCAAGATAACCTTTAAATAAAAACTTTATAAATATAAATAAAAATAATGTAAGGTTTGTCAGTTAATGGTGAGGTGGAAAATTGGTAGAAAAATTGAATATGGTTGCATGTTCTCCAGATTCCTGCAAGCTGGTGGATCTCCAGAAAAAGTTGTGGAGATGTTGTCTGATAATTACACAGCTGTAGCCCAGACTGTCAATCTTTTAGCTGAATGGCTCATTCAAGCAGGTACAGAGATCTGGCTAAATTTTGGTCATTCATGTGTGTGGAGGCACCAAGTACCAATTCTGTAGGATTTATTTACTAGGATAAAGAAATCTCAATGATTTTAATTTTTAGTTCCTGTGAGATAAGAAGCTTATTAGACTGAAACTAGTACATGTGCGCATTCATTGTACATGCACATCCAGTGCATAATTTTAGAGATTAATATTTGTTTTTATGTTAATGAAGATAATTATTTTGGATAAATTTTTAAAAATGCGTCTTTGAAAGTGCAAACATATTATTCATTAGTAAAAGTTTAATAATTGCTGACATGTGGAATAGACTGAATAAAAAAAATTGATGTTTACAGGTGTGGATATCAAAATTGTACAGGAAATGGTGGAAAATCATCTGAAGACAATGATAATGAAACACTTTGATCCCAAGAAAGCTGATTCTATCTTTACAGATGAAGGAGAGGTAATAAAGAACATGCTGTGACTGGCTCACAGATACCATTTAAAATAATTAGAAGAGAAACAAAATTTACATTGAATTGATCAGCTGATTTAATTACTCTGTGTATACTTATCAAAGCCATAGTTATGCATACAACTCCATACCCACAAATTGTGCTAAATTTTGAAGGTGTCAATTCATATACCAGGGCCGTTTAAAAATTATGCGGATTCTGCTATTATTTACTCTTACAGACGTCATATAGTTATGAAATTGCACAGAAATATGTATCTTCAAGATTCCAATAAATTTTGGGCAAAATTTCTATATTTTAAAAAATTTCTTCTAAAATTATCACTGTGTTGATATCACTGATGGAGAGGTATGGAGCACAACAAAAAATTGAAAAAAAAGCATGAAGAATCCAAAATTTAACTCATTAGTTTTTCAATAATTCGCGATTTTATATGCAATTTTCTCAAATGTATCTTTATATTGTTCTGTTGTTATGTATTAAGATTTCTGATGTGATATTTGAAGTACCGGTACTAACAGAAATATTGTGATTTTTCTCCGATATGATTCCTTTGAAATTTAAAACGACTGTGAAAATGTTGTTTCCTGAATTGACGGAGCACCACATTTTTGTTAAGTTATGTGTAATGCTCAAGATATCGCCAACATAGATCCAAAATATGCATAATAAAATATGTAGTAAACTAGGGTATTCGTGACATTTGTCTTCAAGTAGCAAATTGGAATTTTAGATCGTTAGACTTCTATAAAAAGGCTTAATGGGAGGGCGGGAAGAAGATTATCGAGGAAAACTTTATCAGGACAGTAAAGAACGTGATTGAGAGTGACCAATGCCACAAATTATCTCATTAGTACCTGCAGTTTTTAGTTTTAAGAAAAATATATGTTTACTTGTTTTATAGAGTTTAAGGTTGACAAGAAATGGTGTATGGATGTTGAGTAGATAAAGTAACTCAAACTGTACAGGAACTTTTGGGAAAATGTTGAGAAAATGAAAGCTCATATTATTTTTAGAATGCCCGTGACGTCGAAGATTTTGCTGCTCCGTGACTTGATAATATGTCCTGAAAAATCAATCAAAATTGATATCAATTTATAACATTTTGATATGAAATTTTGAAGACCATATAAATAAAGATTCTTATATATAATGTATGACATTTTGCACGATTATGTCGTCAAATATTTCTTCTGTGCAACAAGTCCACGTAATTTTTTTAACTACCCTCGTACATGTATAGTATATTTTTTTTATAAATGTTTTGCAATAGATAGAAATAAAGTCTCAATCTGAAATTTTTAATAGTACATGTAAGGCAAAAAAAAATTAATCAATAGTTTCTCAGGCACCGCCGCATCAGTTCAAAAACGGCCGCATTGATCTTTATTGACATATTGAAAAGGGAAATAACTCAATTTTCTATTTTTCCAAGTTGAAAAAGAAAACCGAGTTATTCCCCTTTTCATAAACGCCAAGAAAGATGTTTTTATTAGAGAAACAATATATTTCTTCTAAACCTAAAGTATTTTATCAGTCAACTTTTAAATAAATGTTTGGAATAAGATTATTTAATGTTAAATACATATTATAACTAATTTTTGAGAACAAAACTTAAGAATTAGTAGATATTATCATTTTACTGCACAAATGACTTACAAAAAAGGTGTAAAAACCTGCTTCCAAAAAAAAAAAAGCCTGCCTGCCGCATTGAATTTTGAATTTGTTGGCCTGAGAAACTATTAATTAATTTTTTTTGGCCTAAGATAAAGCTATTTACCGGTAGTGAATTGCTGGGATACTTGTAGACTCCTTCATGGTTGGCTGAGATGATTGAGTTTCCTACGTGGAGAGAATTGTTTTACAAACTGGCAGAGGAGTACCCAGACTGTCTAATGCTTAACTTTACTGTCAAGGTATGGTATTTTGAAAGTCAGTAGGTTTAGTTTCTAAGTTGTTCATGTTATTATGACAGTTCTTCAACCAACTTAAGGCAGACTTCTCAAGAATGGCATAAAACAAAAATAAAACAAAAAAGAAATCAATAAAAACGTAAGATTGAAATCCATAACCAAAAATACATATCCATTATAAACAATACATGAATTAATGCAAGTATTATTTTCTCTGCAGTTAATATCCGATGCTGGCTACCAGGGGGAGATAACCTCTGTGTCCACAGCCTGCCACCAGATTGAAGTTTTCTCCCGAGTTCTGAGGACATCAATCACAGGGATGCTTGAGGGAGGGGAGGAAACAATCACCAAAAATCTCCCAGAATTCACAGTTTGTATTAAATTCCATAGTGTTACCATATATGTATTTAGAGTGTGACCTAATGTAGATCACTAAATTTTCGCAAGGTAGCCTATATAATCTGAAAGAATACTTATATATGCAAGAATGATACAAGCAAACTTTCTTGCGTCATTATGCAAAAATAAAGTTCTCGCAAATAAAAAGTGATTTAAAGTACATCTACATGTGTTTTATGAATTATTATTTGGTTATTTTATTACTAGAAAATGGTTTGCCATGGAGAACACACATACCTGTACAGTCAGGTTCTGATGCACATTCTGGCCCAGGAAACCAAGGGTGGATCTAACATTCGGCGGTTATGTCAGGAATTACAGAAAAGTGCCCAGGCTAGGTCAGAAAAATTATTACTGGAAATGTACATGTGTAACATTTGGTTGTGTATTCTTATACCGGTGAATGCTCTCTCAGAAAGCAGTTTCTGCTAACTCGGGACCATTAGTTTATTATACCCCCCGCAAACGAAGTTTGGGGTGTATATAGGAATCACCTTGTCTGTCTGTCTGTCCGTCCGTCTGTCTGTCTGTGCAAACGTGTCCGGTCCAAATCTTTCTTACGGAGGGACATTAGAATCTACTACTCCACACAAAGATTGCTCATGACCTAAGGGTGTGTCATGACCTTGACCCGAGGTCATTTGGGGAACTTCAAGGTCACTGGAAGAAAAATTTCATAATTCGTGTCCGGTCCATATCTCTCTTATGGATAAATTTGGTAGGTTCTCATTTCACACAAAGATTGCCCATGACCCAAGGGTGTGTCATGACCTTGACCCAAGGTCATTTGGGGAAGTTCAAGGTCACTGGAAGAAAATTCATAATTCATGTCCGGTCCACATCTTTTTTATGGGCAAAACTTGGTAGGTTCTCATTTTATGCAAAGATTCCCCATGACGTAAGGGTGTGTCATGACCTTGACCCAAGGTCATTTGGGGAACTTCAAGGTCACTGGAAGAAAAATTTCATAATTTGTGTCCGGTCCATATCTTTCTCATGGATAAAGTTGGTAGGTTCTCATTTCACACAAAGATTGCCAATGACCTAAGGATGTGTCATGATCTTGACCCAAGGTCATTTGGAGAACTTCAAGGTCACTGGAAGAAAAATTTCATAATTTGTGTCCGGTCCATATCTTTCTTTTAGATAAACTTGGTAGGTTCTCATTTCACACAAAGATTGCCCACGACATAAGGGTGTGTATTGACCTTGACCCAAGGTCATTTGGAGAACTTCAAGGTCACTGGAAGAAAAATTCCATAATTTGTGTCCGGTCCATATCTTTCTTTTAGATAAACTTGGTAGGTTCTCATTTCACACAAAGATTGCCCACGACATAAGGGTGTGTCGTGACCTTGACCCAAGGTCATTTGGGGAACTTCAAGGTCACTGGAAGAAAATTTTCATAATTTGTGTCCAGTCCATATCTTTCTTATGGATAAATTTGGTAGGTTCTCATTTCACACAAAGATAGCCCATGACAATAGGGTGTGTCATGACCTTGACCCAAGGTCATTTGGGGAAGTTCAAGGTCACTGGAAGAAAAATTTCATAATTCGTATCTGGTCCATATCTTTCTTATGGATAAACTTGGTAGGTTCTCATTTCACACAAAGATTGCCCATGACCCAAGGGTGTGTCATGACCTTGACCCAAGGTCATTTTGGGAACTTCAAGGTCACTGGAAGAAAAATTTCATAATTCATGTGTGATACATATCTTTATTATGGAAAAACTTACTACTGAAAAACCCAGCGGGGGATATTTTGTCCCGTTTGGACAGTTCTAGTTTGTGAACAGTGTTTTCCCCAAGCCATTTTTGCATGGCGGTACCACCATGCATTCATGATCTCCCGCCATGCATCACATGTTGCCGCCATGCTTCCCGCTATGCATGAACTATTAATTGTGTACCATTTTAATGTTACCAGTTACAAATCTTTCAATAAAACAAATCAAATCACTAGAATCCTAGCATGTACTGTACACATTTTGTGCACCTGTTGTGAACATCGATGCGAATCACGGCAAGGGGTATGATGCAATAATAGGCCTAGCTGTCACTTTTTGTTTATTGCAATTTACTGGTATGTTACTAAGTATCAGGGTTTTAATTAGTTAAAAATTAATTTATAACCATAAAAAGTAATTAATTGCTATCAGAGGGTGTACATGGTAAAAGCAATACACTTGTTAATGCACATGTGGGTTTTTTCCAACATTTGCAAGTTGTTCTATAAATAGCATTGATGCTCCAACATAAAGAATGATTCATTAGTTAAACTCATAATATTTAAGACATTTTTTGCATGAAAGTGCTGAAAATAAACATTTCTCATTAACATAAACAATGTTTATTTACTTTATGAACTATCGCGAGGTACTTAGTTCAAAAACATGTGCTTTTAATACACCTTCACCTATATTCAAAAGTGGGAAAAATCAAACACCAAATGAATCTAAATAAGTTTTCACAATATTTACATGTAAGCATTAGTGCTACATATTAACGAGCACCCTTTTTGTTTCAAGACAACTGCAAAAGTAGGGACATAAAAAAATAATAATAAAAAGGTGGAGGTCTCTGTCTATTTGTAGAAAGCAAAAATAACACAATACACAAAACAGTAAAAAGACAGTGGGTTTATAGAAAATTATAAAAGAGCAAATATTTTTTTATTAATTCTATTTTTATTTTTAAAAGAAACTCAATTGTTGAATATTTTTTAATTAAAATTAACAATTTGTTCAAAGTGTATTTATCATTTGATTAAATAATGAATTTGTATTTTTTCATTTAAATATATATTTAGTTACATGTACAATTAACTTAAGGACGTTCGATCCTGAGATTTTGAGCGTATTTTGGTCAGGTCCTTTATTTATAAAATTCTGCATCATTTTTAAGTTCTAGCATTAAATCTGAATTCTACAGTGCAAATTTAACTACAGGTGACTCTCGATCTCTCTAAGTTCAAGGGACCGGAAGAAAACTTCGAGAGATCGAGGGGGTTCGAGAGATAGAAAGTAATTAAAATCCGGAATTTTCAGTTCTGATCATAGAAGTTCTACTTTTACAGATACCGGAAGTATATGTAAATAAAGTCATTGCACGTTTTCAATCCTATTTTACAGGTAGTTTACTTGATATCAACAAAAATGATCGTATTTCGAATAAATAAATCGAATTCCCAAAGTTTCAATATCTATTTATTCCTATTTCATGATTACATAAAACCCGAATAGTAATTGTCGGATCTATTCCGAGGCTTGATCGGGTCCTTCACCTGAGTGTTCACCAGATTTTTCTTAATCGGTATTCAGACCTTGGGAAACGAATTTCTTGTGCAATATTTGCCATTCTGGGATTATGTAGACGCTATATAATCATAATGAAAGTTCATAGTCTATAGGAACTTACTGAAACGAACATCTATAAATTAATTTCAAAAAATTATCGTCTCGGTTTTAATTCAAAATAAGTGACTTTGTTTATAATTTACCCTGTGAATAATAACCAATTAATTATATCAACACACGGACGACCCACAGGTGTAGTGTCATCTATGTAAACACCCAATTAACACCTCCATGCCAGCCCAAGGCATTCACTGTTTCCAGGTAAGTCCAGGTGGCATTAATTTTACGCTTGGTTGGCGTGTATACACGCGCAATCAAAACTTCGAGAGATAGAAGTAAAATTCAATGAAATATGTGTAACGGGACCCAGATTTTGGTTTGAGAGATAGAGAACTTCGAGAGATAGAAGTTCGAGAGATCAGGAGTAAATTTGCTTAGTTATATAGAGGGAAAAAACGGGACCGGAGGTTCACTTCGAGAGATCGGAGTTCGAGCCATCGAGACTCACCTGTATATCCAATGAAAAAAACGTGATTAAATTCCATTCAAGTAGAATTAAGCTAGGGACTATATTTTGTGGCAGAAGGTTTTTTAGACAAAAATGATAATTTTTTCAATTTCGAACTATAACATTACTCTTAATTTTGGATTCCTATTTTTCTATCCTGGTTGCACACAAAGCTGTTTTTGCAGTAAAATGTGTTATGCTGGTTCAGAAATATCTATTAAATTATTTCTTATGAATTTTATCAACAAAGTGTGACAAATACAGTCAATATATTCTGAAAATCTGAGAAAAATTTGAGCCAATTTTAACGTAAAATTGACACTTTTTTAGTAATATCTGAAAATTTACATCATATACCCCCACTTTTGATGTTCTTTTCTAAATATTCAAGATAAATTTGACCTATTTGCTTAAAATCAGAAAAAGTTTAAGACTTTAAATTAATTTTCTTGCTTATTAAATTTTCAATGCCAGAAAAATCACTTTTTATTAGTGCAGAAAGGTCAAATAATTGATTATGCGATGCAATTTGAAACTTTTTCTTGGTCACAATTTTTAAGTGTCTTTTTTAAACAAACTTAGAGTTCATTTTATTTCATGCTTTAATTGGATAAAAATATTGGAGGGAAAACGTCCAAAATTTAATTTTTAATCAAGATACAAATTTCAGTGCAGAAAGGTCATATCAAATGTACTGTAGCACCAAAAAAAGCGTATTGACCCCCATTTTTTGATTTGAATTTTAATTAAGCTATGTATGTAGAAACTAAAGATATACTTGGCAAAAAAAGTTTAAGACTTTAAATATCAGGATCGAACGTCGTTAACCGACACACGTCGTGCGACGTCAAATCAGCGAAATTCCTCCCATGCATCAAACATTTTCTGGGGAAAACACTGTTCAGAATATAAAGCTTATTCAAAAACAATAGTGCAAATGTATGCTTAATTGTTTTTGATTTTAAATTTTTGCCAAATAAAATACATTTACAGTATATGTATAAGGTTTTTACCACTCATATAATTTTATGATAACCCTGGATCAGAATTCGGTCTTATGATTTCAAGGAAGTATAAATTGAAAAATATATTGACACATACGATTTTATGTTGCTTACTTCTTGCAAATTACGGTATTAAATTAATTTACAAGATTAATTAATTTACCTCTCTGACATTTTATTTCAGAGAGATGGATGTGACCCCCATTACTCTGGCCCTCAGTGGGGCAGCTGCTTACCCCAGGGCTTGTCAAGCCCTCTCCTCCATGTTGTCCAGAAATGCCCTGAATCCAGCAGATATCACTATTGTAAGCTATTTCAGATTTCAGGAAAGAAATATATATCATAGTAAAAGAAACATCACTATTACTAAGTGTTTTTGAGTGGTCCTTTGTTTTATTCCAGTTGTACAAAATGTATATGGAGATGAACCCTCCTCCTGTTGACCTGATTCGAGTTCCTGCTTTTTTGGGTACTGTGTATTACTTTTTTTTTAAAAATTGAAATATGAACTCTTATTACCGGTATATTTTATTATGCCCCCCTTTGAAGAAGGGAGGGCTTATTGCTTTGCTGCTGTCTGTCGGTCCACTTAGTTTCTGTTACTTTCCGTTCATTTTCTTCATATTTCAGATAAATATCTAGGTCAAGTTCTGTTTTGGGTATGATCGTGCCATTTTTGAGTTATGCCCCTTGGACTTGGAAATATTCCAATTATTTGCAAATTCCGTTCATTTTCTTCACAACCGTTGCACATACTAAAATGAAATTTGGTATGTAGATATATAAGATGAATATCTAGGTCAAGTTCTGTTTTGGGTACTATCACGCCATTTTTGACAGAGTTATGCCCCTTGGTCTTAGAAAAATTCCAATTTTTTGCAGTTTCTGTTCATTTTCTTCGCAGAGATTATACATACTGAAATGAAATTTAGTATACAAATTTATCAGATTAATATCTAGGTCAAGTTCATTTTTGGATACGATCGAGCCATTTTTGACCGAGTTAATCCCATTTGGACATAGAAAAGTTCCAATTTGGTGGGAGGGGGGCATAAGTGTTTTACAAACATCTCTTGTTAACTGTTATTTTTGCTACAAACAATACTGAGTAATAATTTGAGATTTAAGCAATTTTATACATGTATTATGTTTGGAAATATAATATACATTGATATAATTTTTTTTGAATATTTCTTAGAATAGAATATTTGACATTTACGAAGATGAATCAAAAAAAGCCCACTACGCCTATCTACTAGCTAATTACCACTTATAATACAATTTTGATTTTTTTTTTACGTAATCTGTATTCGACCTTTTTATTGTATTTTTATAGAGCTTTTAATTGATGCCCTTTTCAAACCTTCATCCAGAGTAAATCCTGAACATAAATCTAAGTATATATTTGTCTTGTCCTATGCAGCAAGTGTCACAGAAGTTTATAAAAAGGCAAGTTCAACTGAGAGATTTTTAAATGCCAAAAGATCAATTTTTGGCTTTAATTTATGGAATAATTTTAGCAATATCTTTTTTGTTCAATTTTGCTGGAGCTATGGGGAGGAAAAGTTTATTTTTAATAAGTTAGTGGAAGAAATTTGCATATTCTTGTGCTTTGCATTATTAAAAAAGTAGTAGGTTGATAAAAAAAATTGTATGTATGTATGATTTAAGATGTATGTACTATTTGCCTTCTTAGGGTCAAAGAAAGAATATCAATAAAGATGAGCTGAAGCCCACAACTCAGGCCTTAGAAAGAGTGCAATCTCTTTGTGCTGAGAATAAAAGCTCATCCGAGCTTATCTCAGACATCAACACACTCTTCCTTAATATCAAGTAGGTCTACTTCTGTTCTTCTATCATTTGAATCATGCAAAGTATTATCATTTTAAACAAAAACAAAGTAACAGAAAAAGTACTGTTCAACTTTTAATTGTATGAAATCATCTTTGGTTCTTGCACCTTTAAGATTTTTTTTGGTGTGTGTAATTTATCAGAAAATGTAGGGCTGTGTCATGTCAGATTCACATGCCCTATCATCATGTTTGATAACAGAAACAAAATTATTTTAAAAGGTAATACTCTATATTTTGTTTGACAGTATTGTTCTAAACTATATCTGAATCATCAGCTTGCTTTCATTTTGACCAGATTTCCAGTGATAGCTTACGGAGTCCTACGCTGGGTGGATTACACCGTATCAGATGCCAGTTATTTTAAACTCAACACAGACCACACTCCTCTACACCTGGTTCTAATTGATGAAGTGAGTTGTGTAGTTGTTGAATATAGCAAATTACAATTCTTTGGAATCAACTTACATTCATATGTACCAAATTTGTATTAGTAGTCTAGCTGCTTCTTTAATTTGGAGAGTTTGTTCAGGAACAAAAACCTCTGATTAAGGAGATGTGACTGTAATTACAGTTTAACTTTGGTGTCACAAACACTGATATCTCAAATACCATGGATATCTCAAAGGGAATTGGAAGTCCTAAACACTTATTTTTTAAGTATTTAACCCTTGATATCTCAAACACTTGAATGTCTTCTTTTGCACTTCTCATTGAGTTCAATATAATGAGGTTTGACTGTGCTATGTACAACTTTTCTTGCATTTTTATTTCCTCTGAAGAAATATATAATTTTTGTTTTTAAGAAAGGATTGGCTGAAGAGTTTTATAAAAAATCATTTGTTAAAGAATAATCTTACCAATTACAGATTGTTACAAACCATACTCTTCTACATCAACCAGCCCTAGACCTCTTTATCAGAGTGTTTGAGTCTTCATTTGAGGATCTAGAGGTGCTTTTTAGGGTAAGTTTGGAAGAAATAGAGAATGTGGTTTACAACATTGAAATTCTTTCCTACCGTTAATCTTATTTACTCATTATCTCAAGTGATTTATAAATGGATTGATCCTCATTGCTTGGAATTTTTGTATTACATGTTGTAAATTGAAGAATAAACTGTACCAGCAATCTCTTTATAATTGTTTCTTAATTTCATTTTAACATTGCAGTTGGAGCTTAAGAAGGCTGTCCTAGACCGAATGGTTCATCTCTTTAGCCGTGGCTTTGTCATTCCTGTTGTGACATACATCAAAAACTGTCTGGACAAACAAGACACAGATATTTCACTCATCAGACATTTTGTTACTGAGGTAAATTTTTAAAATAATTTGATGAAATTTTATGCTTTAATGCAAGTTCTTGGGTATTATAATTCTAATGCATATCTGATAAATACAGATCTAGTAAAGTAGTCTGTGTATATGTATATTCTATTCACTTGAGCTATAGTCTTTTATTAGGTTACAAGTATAGCATGAATAAATCATTTTACAGACTAGTAATCAGAATTCAAAAGTTGTTACAATGGCTTGTCTTCTTATTACGCGTATGCACTAACGCGCAGTATTCAATTTGTCGGCACGGCCAGGTGTGTTATAGGACGGAAGACATCCAAAAATATTAATTCAATGCTTATATTTACATTCTATAATTTTCCTTCTTCATAATTACTTATTTCGTTAATCTTAAATAGGGATGGGTATCACCAAAAATTTCGTATCGAGATATATCATGATTTTTTCCAACAATATCATGATAATATCATGATATTTTTAAAAGCAGTTTTTACAATGATTTTATATGAAAAGTCATTATTTTTCTAAAAAAATATGCCAGAAAAAACAAAATTTTACTTTCTTCAAATTTTTATGTATATAAAATCAATTATGTTTGGAGGCCTTTCTTTTCATTTTTTACAACATTTTTTACACTTCTGTAATTGTAATTTGAAAGATTGAACAAATAAATGAATAATTTCTGGACTTTATAATATGTACCTAAAGACCGGTATTTAGATCTCCGTATCACAATACGTATCATGCAACAAAAAATCGCGATACACCGGTATACCGATAAAATCGCACATCCTTAATCTTAAATGTGAATTTAGAGCCATTCAAAACTGATAGATGTAAGAGCCGTGACATCAGATGACGTTAAATGATGTTGCAAAGTTAAATAACGCAAACACACATTATGTTAATTTTTAGGTTTATTTTTCAGGGTTATAGTTTTTCATTAAATTAAAATAAAATATTTTACATTTTGGTGTTCCTAGAGTATTGAAAAAACTTATAGTTCCTACTGTGTATTCTAACGCGCGGTGACAAGGTTTCGCTTGTGTTAAAGAAATTTAACGTCGTGGATTTCTAATGGATTTCATAAGGAAAATTACACTGAATGTATATATTAAACCTTGTGCATTTGTTATTTCTGACCAAAGGTTCTTTGCCATGATGCACATTATTTGATTGAGGGATAAATATGAGTCATGGTGAGCATCACTTCTAAAATTCATCATTTTTTAAGTAATAATAATACCGTTATTGTTATCCCATATTTGCAGGTTCTGGACATTATTGCCCCTCCCTACACCCCTGAGTTTGGCCACCTGTTTTTGCCCCTAATAGAATGTAGGGACATCACAGGTTCTATACGATCAGATGATGGCAGTGACCCTGTCTCAGAGTTCATATGTAAGAATATTGTAATCTAAGAAGTACATATCTGAATAATATATTGTATGTGCATATGCTTCCATATATAACAAAGAATTTCTCTTGAAAAAAAAATTGTACACAATAATAATGGGGAAAAGGTTATTCTTTCATTCCAATATTTTCTGATGCAAAAAATTCTTTTGTTTTAATTTCAGTGCATTGCAAGTCATAGTGTCAAATATCTCCATTGACATTGTGCTAATTTATATCTCAAATGGATCGGTGGGAACTGGCCCGTGGAATTTCCAAGAGAAAGTGATTTTCATGTGATGAAAGGTTCCAGGGCTTACTGGAAAAGAAAACTTTCCATTTAGGACCAATCAGACTGCTTACAAACAGGAATGTAAACATTTCTAAATATAGAAAAGCAGTGTCATATTTTTAAGAATGTTATTTTGTTACTGGCATGTATTTTTGCATGTTTTATGTTGTCATATAAACTTGCCAATAAAATAAATGCTAAATCTATCTTTGACATAAACTACTTCTTTAATTTATTGTTCGAATAAATGTTTTGATTGGCTGCATAGTCAGTGGTAAATGGCAATACCTTGTGAGATACCATTTACCACCGATTGAATTCTTTGGTACAGTCACGTAACATTGACAATGCCATCATTCCAGGTAATTTTTTATTGTCTGTCACTCCTGTGGTGTCTTTCAGGCCAGTATTAAAAATATGTAATCAGCTGGTATATATGTACTTTTAAGAATTACATCAAGATTTATTGTAGATTTACTTGAAATATTAAACAAGATTTGCATGCATGTGAAACACTGAGTCCCCCTGTATGGGAGTCCATAGCTATTAAAGGTGAAAGTTTCTCAAATGCAAATCAAATTTCCAAGTTTGTGATCAAAATTTATATAAATATGATTCAAAGAAAGGTCTTGTTATGAGGAATACATGTGGAATATAAAAGCTGTTCAGCAACTACCAGAAATTATGGTTAAGGTTATTTTTTTTTTTCTCAAAAGCAGGTCAAAAATAATTGTATCTCATGAAATGTCTTATCACAATGAAAACACATGGAATAGCAAAACCCTAACACCATTTCAAAAGTTATGGCCAAGATTAGTTTGGTAAATTGTTTGCAAAAGTGTGTCAATACATTCCAAGGTCAAAAGGTCAAATCCCTGGACTATATGCACAGTTTTTTTTAGCCCAAACGAAAAAAAGTTTTTCAGATGAAGTTGTAATCGTAAATGTTTTAAATGATTCCTGACAAACAATTCTCCTTTTTAAATTAACTTTTCTCAAGTGTATAAGAAACAAAGCTGTAGCATTTCAGTTTTATTAGTTCCATAGATATCCAATCAGTTTGAAAACTAAATTTTCACATAATTTTTCTATTATATACTTTAAAACAAAATGACAACTCCCATATCATTGGATATACATGTAAATTCAATAGTACATAAATAACTCACTACTGTTTGAGATGTTTTACAGGCTGAGGCCGCCTTGTCACATGACTGTCATGTGATCGATATTTACAAATAAAATTAGCTTCAAAATATGTAACACTGTATAAAATATAAATGTATCTGTACAAAACACAGGATGCACAACATTGATTTATTTGTACACACCATTATCAAATAAATTATTTAATCATTGATATTTACTATGGTGAAACATAGTACACACACATACCCACGCTGTGATTACACACAATGAAATACAGTATATATATGTCAATGCACACCCACAAATACACACACTTGATTCTTGCCTTGAATGATACAAGTAACATAGCAGTTTTATAAAATCCCTTAATTAAGCAAGAGATCATTAACTACAGCAATTATCTGGGGGTAAAATCAGCAAAAACAAATTCTTATCTCCTGAAGCTGCCTCTATCACCCATACTAATTGGGGTGCTGTGTCTTTGCCACAAATCCTGTTATGCCAATATTGAGTTTTTAGATCAAAAGACCTTGAATGTCTATAATGCTAACCACAGAGTAAGCTGACGTGTTAATACTTATTAATCTGGAGCAAGAAAAAGAAAATTATAGAATCAAATGCATACATTCAATTAGGTCGCCAGCATTTCTGGCATAAAATTAAGTTAATGAATAGTAATTTTGTTAAAACAATGGAAAAAATTGACAAATCTGTTTAATACATATACATGTACGTTTAATTACAGATTTGAAAGGATATTTACATGTAAAATTATAAAGACAAAGTTAGAGGCCTTGACTAAAAAATTCTTTCTGAAGTGTCGAGGTTTTTCACTCATGCTGCCTTAAATTACAGAATTCTTCAACTTGTCAGCCCCCAAACTTGTATGTATTTGGCAAAAATTCTTTTTTGGTGAGAAGGTTATTTAGTAAATCTGGTCTGATACAAAAAGAAAAAAAGTCTGATGGAAAAAATTCCAATTAAGACTAAACCCCAAACAAAGTTACCAATTTACCATTGAATAGCCAGGCTTCTGTTTGTGCTAAGTACAACTATACCTATGGTCGTTTCACTATCATAAACTAGGATACTTTAACTTTGTATAATATCACATCATTACATCACAGGGTGTCAAGTACTGTAGTTCTTCCTCCATATTAATCAAACATTAAGGTCTTAAATTAAGTTTCTCCCCTAAATTACAGTTTCTCTTTCTCTCCCCTAAAATATACGTGTAGTTTTAGTTAATACACACAAATGGCCGGCAGTCAAAATTTGTAAATAAAAAAGAAAAAGTAGAATGTTTATAATCCGCAATCTCATCCTACATCGTAGATGATTTGCTTAGCAACATGTATTGTTCAAAATCAAGATAATTACCACAACAATACTTTCCAAACAAAAAAAATATATCAAGAATTGTGCGACATCTTCATTTTACACAAAGGGTTAATAAACAAATCATCCTCATGGAATTTTTAACATTACAATAATTTTTTTTACCATACTTATTATGTACATGCTCTTGCCAAGTTTTATGCATTAAATTCTGGTGTGGATATTGTATCATAAAATACAAGGCTAATAAATCCAAATCATAAACCCTTAACACTGAACAAATCTGAACACTGAATGTGCATCTACACAAAGATTTGTCTCATTAAGAAATATTTCACTTCTGAAATCATGTCCATTTACACTGCATTTAACAAATGAGTATTAGCTTGCTGGTTTTTAAGAATGGAAAGCTTGGGATATGTGAATGAAACTCAGCAGATCTTTTATACTAATACAGATAATACTAGAATTGTCTACCATCCATCAGTCCACACATTCTTATAAACACAAACATACACTAGCACTTTAAATCATTCCCTCAAGGAAATTCTTGTCTTGTGTTGTTTTCATTTACGATAAGTACCACAGCTAAAAAAAAAAATTCCGCCCGTACTGATGAAAACTTCCTTCTCAGATCCTGTCTTTCACGGAGTCCTGTCCTCTTGGGCGCAGAGCTCTTCTCTCTTTCTCTCTCAGCTGTATTTGTCACAGTCACCAACATATTTGAAGTTTTCTGACACTTCTGTCTATCCAAGATTAGAGGAGACTTGGACAAATATATGTGGCTGGGGTTTACAGAATTACATCACACACTTCACCACAGAAATGCTGAACAACCAACTGTTCAAGTCTAGAACCTGTCTAAATCAGGAGTCCTGTCACTTGAGGAATGTTTTGTACAAGAGAGTTGATTTGCCCAGCGAGCGCTCCTGCTCCATCAAGAACAAAACGTCTCGTAATGTCACCCTTTTGATTCTCTGCCTTGTGCTAGTCTGCTGTAGATTAAAATTATACAATTCATATGAAATAAATTAGTGCTGGAACAAAATACATTGTACATGTACAACAAACACACATGTATTTTTACTATTACTTCTACATGCATTGTTGGAAGATTTCTTACTGTTTTTGAAGACGAAGAACTGCCTCCATTGCTAACATTAAATCCTCCACTTCCAGTCTGTAAATAAACAAAGATCAATTCATTAACTTGGGTCCCTGTGTTTTATCAAGGGTGAAGATATAATTTTTGTACAGGGATATAAACTGAGAAACCCCTGTCAGGTGTGAATCGCTTAACATAGTGAACTACATTTTTACATGAACAAAGATTCAATTTTCATATGGAATGATAACTCCTCACCTGGCTCAAAGCACTGATCTGAGAATAACGTTTTACATGTCAAAGCTTCAATTTTCATATAAAAGTATAAAACTGAGGACCCCTCACCAGACTTACAGCACTAATCTCTCCAAAGTCAGTTTTCCTCTTCTTCCTGGGTCCTATAGCTGCCAGGGCTGTCTGGTTAGCCTCCTCCTGCCTCATCCTCTCTATCTCAGCCTGTTGTAACTGTAGCACAAATAGGCAAGGATTATTTTTACTTCATCAACAATCAACAGCTTAATTAAAGTTAAAGTCAGCATCACATTCTATACCTCTTTGGCTTTTTGTTTTATCTTCTGCTGCTCAGGGTCTTCATTTTTTGACCGACTCTGAAAATTATGAATCACATTACATATATATATATATTGTATTTCCATTAGACATCGGACAAAATCAAATTTAGATTTTTCACAGTCTAATACTACTTCAGCTCCCAGAAATCTATACATAAATAAATTTCATTTTACCTTTGCAGCCTTCATGATTTTCTCCCACTCCTGATCGTCATGGCGTTTCTTTTCTAGTTTATCTAGTTCCTCGAGAAACTTTAACTGAGATTTGGCATCATTTGAAGCCTCAAACTTTTCATTCATCTGGAAAAAATATTATTTTAAAAAGGTCACATCTGATTATAATCCTGTCCACAGAAACCATTTTTTTTGGGGGGGGGGGGATACTATGAATTGTTATATGGTAGACCTCTAAATTTAGGTGACTCCTTTTTGTGCAAAATCGTCATTCAGTATAGTGAGCAAATAAAATTTTCATGAATTTGGGATCATACTCTAATAATCTTTTAAAGACATACATGTATTTGTGCCAATATGAAATTGATCTAACATAAGCACTTGAAAATCAAATTCTCATTTTACAGTTACCTTTAACAATACAAAAAAGGGTGCCATTCTTCCATCAGTACCTTATATATTTCTATCCTATGTTCAGCTATAGTGTCAAGTTTCTCTAACAGATCTCGGAGTCGTTCTTGTGTTGCATGTGAGACCAGATTAGCAACATCAGATGAAATGTCATCTATCCCATGCTTCTTGGCTGTGGAAGAAAGACAAGATAGAATTATGATAGTCAAACTCTGAAATGAATACAGCCCAAAATTCAGCATCACAATCCTAAATACCATACAAGTGGAGTTTTTAGTGAGAAGAAAATTAAGCGATGTTTTCCTTAAGGGGGACAACTGGGGTTTTATTGCGTGAAAATTACAAAATTACGAAACTCTTTATTTTTAGTCTATATATAACTTATATTAAATCAAGTGTACATGCCAAGTTTGGGGAAAATCTAGCGTCCAGGTATTTATAAGGGACCGTCTCAAAATACAGGTACATTTACTATAGGATTTTATAGAAAAGTGCCATTTTTGGCACTTTTCAGCAAATTATAAAATACTACAATAGACTTTTTGCTCAAACTATAATATATGATGAGTAACACTATATTGTACATTATATAAAATAAACACAAAATTCTACTGTCTTGTTCCCAGAGGAGACATCTCAAAATACCAAAAATTAACGAATTTTCCTGTTTTATAGAGTACTACAAAATATGAAGGATACAACGGATTTATACAAACAAAAAATAATAAAAATTAAGAGAAGATTCTCAAATTTCTATGTTTCAAATTTCAGGAGCATATACTTGTATTTATTACTTTTTCTTTTATGACATTTTATTACCCCTTTTTAAGAGCTTCACGTTATCATAACGTTGAAAACACAATTTTACGAAGCCAATCTACCTATCAGTTGAAAAATCGTTTTAAAATTCAGATATGAAATTGTAATTAATTTTTTCAACCTATAATTTCTTAATTTTATCATTTTTTTTTAATTAAGTGAAAAAATTGCTTATAAACAGTAAATAAGCTTCATTTTACTATGATGCGCGAAATATTGCGCAATGGAAACTACAGTGGCCCCCCTTAAAAGTCAGAATTAAATTTCAGCGATTTTATGGTATATTTGAGCAATCTCAAAAAGCTGATTAAAACTGCCACAAATTGAATCATCGCTAAAATTTCTACTTATACAGTTTATGTGGAAATGAGCTGAAAGTTCCTTACACTTTTTCTCTATATATCTTAAAGACAATATCTCAATATCTACAAAGTTTTATTCTTGGACTCATATTCCAAATAACAAGGATTGACTGTACATACATGTAGTAAAATCAGGATCAAATTGAATTGTTAACTGTCCTTTATTGAGCAAGATGCTTCAATATTTAAGGCACTTCGATGATTTTGTTCCAATTATACAAAAAAAAATTGAAATTTGTAGATGGTGACATTTAGGGCTGGGCAAAAATATTGATATTTCAGTATATTGCAATACACTGACAAATAATATCGCATTGCAATACATTTTTCTAATATCGATACATCGGCAAAATGCTTTGACTAAGGAATGCTATCATTAAATATAAAAATAAAGGCTTGTTATTAAGCCAAACAGTAAGACAGAAGTCAATTTCTGGATGTATTTCGAGAGTAACTTCAATAAAATCAACGAGAAGTTTTCCTTTTGTTTACTTTTCATACTTAAGTACATTCTGCAGGTAAATTAAAGTTAAAATAATAAGAAAATGCCATTGTAATTTTCCTTTAAAATATTGCAATACATATCGCAATACAATTAAAAATATCGCAATATATCGCAATACTAAATCTCTGGCCAATACCCAGCCCTGGCGACATTACCTATTGCTGTAATTCTGCTAAGTAAAGGTCCGTGATGCAGGAAAGCTTCGTCTTTACAAGAACGAATCTGTGTCCCAATAAAATCAGCGTTACTGGCCAAAATGTTCTTACTCTCCTCTGACAGATTGACACCACCCATGGTAGCCACATCGTTAATATCATCATCGTCCCTGCGAAAAATAAATTAATATCATGAATGTTTCATAACAATAAACTTCCTCAATAAACTTCCCTGATTTAATTTTAATTGTTCTAATAAAAACTTTTAAAAAGTAATTATATCCACCTAAAAGTAACATTTGTGTCAAATATTTTCAAAAGTTTTCAAATAGTAAGTAAATCTGAACAACAGAGAAGAACATACAATGAGTAGACATGAAAAATGAGAAATTTCATACCCCTGGTAATTGAACACGTACCACACAAACTATTTAAAAAAAGTATTTGTACCGTAATAGGGTTGCAGACAGATCCTGTATTTCTACTATAACTGTCGTAATAACACTTACTTGAGAGAGTCGTATTTGGTTTTCTCTTTGTGGGGGGTAGAACTCCGTGAGGGCCCTCCTGCCACTCCCGGTAGGTGCTGACTTTTCCCCGAGATTGCTGTCACGGTTTTAGGAATTCCAATCTATTGATGCAAATTTTGAGAGTCATGACAAATATTCTGCAAGATTCAGATAAGAGTAACTATGGTGTTTCCACCATAAAATACACATGTATATAACAATAAATCTCAAAGTAAAGAAACATAGTTCATAGACCATTTTATTTAAAACTACAGTAAGTTTAACAAAGTTCAGATTTGATTATTATTGTCATTTTGGTATCTATATATTAAAGTACATGTACCTCTGCACTACTTTGTCAACTTTCTTTACTTGCCACTTAAGCTATCAACTTTCCAAAGAAGTAAAATTTTTAATGCGTAAAAAAACTTGACAGCAGCTTGAAAGAGAAACAACTCTGGACTGAAAAACACTGCTAAATTACAAGGTGGCAAAATCATGACAACATCCAAAAAGGCGAGTGGATTCAGAATTTGGTTGTTGATAACCCAGACTCACAATGTGTTGGCCTCTGGCAGCTGCATGTTGACTGGACGGATGAGGAACTTGGGGGTGGAATTGAGTTGCCATGGATGCCACGGGATGTAGCACCTCCAGGGGAGGTGGCTTTACACCATCTATTGTCATGGTGTTGGCGATTAATGCTTGGCGCAAAGCTGGCAGACTTTTCTACAAAAACATTGAGAGGAATTGTTAAGGCCCAATTACTGTAAACCAACTTTTATTCGTGTGGGAGAAATATTTGCGAGTTTTGCAACCTACTTCAACCCACGAATATTAATCGCCGCAAACCCTTTAATTTGCATTGTATTTGTAAAGAATAATTTCTCAGTCGCGAAAATTAATCGTTGTGGATTGATGACAAAACACGAATAAAAGATGTTGCAATTAATAGTTGGTTTACAGTATCAAGTTCTTAACCTCTTCAAATTAAATCTGGCAATGCATTTCATTTTAGGCCATATAAAATTGAAATCTTGGTTCTCAGGCCCGCGCGCATCCGTTTTGAGGTAGCCGCATTGCCGATTTTATTGTATTTTTGATAAAATAAAAAGTTGGTATTGCGGTGACCAATCCGGGAAAAAAAATTCCGACCTCATTTGTTTCGTAGTTTAGTATTCAAATATCACTTCCGGTAGCCATTTACAATGAGATTTTGGCTACTTCGTTTGAAAATACATTCGAGGACATTACCTACGATGTTTACACGCTGTTAAGCAATGGATAAAGCAGAAATTTTGACCAGAAATGGAAAGTATATCTGTGATTAAAAAAATTATCTTTATGTTAAAGAAAATTCGGAAATTAAAATAAAAAAAAAATACCTCCCTCATCTACTTTATTGCCAATAAAATGAAAAATAAAATGCCGCCCTCCCGCATCTGTTTTGGAGAAAATTGGCCTGAGAACCAGAGAATTAAATTTAGATAGCCTTATCAAGTTTTTTTTTGCTTAATTTTTTGTCTGTTTAGTTTGTCACAAATCTTTTACCTTAAGGAATGGCACTAAATATGGTTGAGGTGATGATCGAAGTTCTATTTGCAACTTCTCTGTGAATGTTTGAGGTTCCACTTTTCCATCCTAAATTTAAAAATCATTATGCAAGTTCTCTTTAATGTTAAAAAAAAAGAATACTTGCATCTTGGAAGTAATTTTAGTAAATAAACAAAGATTACATTGGTAATTATTCACAGAGGAGTAACTCACAATGAGGCCCTGGATCAGCTCTCGGACATTTTTGACAGTTTGTGGAGGTTGACTCTGAGCCAGTTTAATGAGAGTAGACAGGAAATTCTTGCATTTTTTGACATTGTCAGGGGGCTGTTGAGGTGCACCTACAAAGGAAAAAGAGTTCTTTTAGCATATATGCTCAGACTCAAACAAAAATTCCCTAGATCTCTTATAGGGGTGGGACGATACACACATCTTGCGATACGATACGTATCTCGATATATTGGCACGATATGATACGTATCTCGATATTATGAGAAATTATAAAACTATTCAAAAAAATTAGTATTTTACTTCTTTTTTTTTTGTCTTGATATTAATTAAATCAACAAATTATTCTATATCAAGTCATGTTTGCTTTGAAAATAATACTTGAAGTACATCAATTTAATTGACTAAAACTTTACAAAAACATTAATACATGTACATACTATAACCAAATTACTATTCAGAAGTTGTTTACAAATAGTTGTGTAGTTTATCAGAGAACACTGACTAAAAATTCATTTAAAAAACATCGATCAAATTAACATTTTTATTAATTCATTGCTGAAAGTCTGTAGCCAAGATGAGATTACAAAAAAAAAGTACAAGATGGACTAACAATTAATAATATCAAATGTTCGGGAAACGATATTTTCTGTGTATAGCACGCATTACATTCTGAACTTTTCTTGTCCAATCTTTCGACCAATCTTCCGAGGCTGCTTAAAAGTAAAAACATTTTACCCCTAACCAACGACTTATTAGTTCTAAAGTGAGTTTTCAATATCAACATCATCTCTTCGCTCGTACAAGCCGCCATTTTCCAAGGACATGTACTTTCATTTTCAATTTTTGGATAGGTCGTTCGTGTATCGTTTCGTACCGATATTTGAATGCTTGTATCGAAAACCGTATCTTGGAGGAAAATATCGATATGTATCGGTGTATCGGTATATCGTCCCACCCCTAATCTCTTAAGAATTCCTTGAATTTAAGATCTTTACCAATTGCGACTGCAATAATCTCATGACAACAGACAAATCTAAATGGTACAAAGGGTACGTACTTGTTGGCCTCCTACCTGACGCGGTGGTGTGGATGGCGGTCCCTGGGGGTGCCGTGCGGACCAGGCTGGGTACGGGGGTAGCTGTAGAGACAGTACTGAGGTGGACCTGTCGGGGGATTCCCTGCTGCGCGATGGCCGAGTTGGGGGGCTGAATTGTCACTATCTGTTGAGGGCGAACAGGGCCAGGAGAACTTGAAGGCTACAATAAACCACATTGCATACAATGAACATCATTTTGCAAAAAGCATTTCTGTTAAAAAAAAATTTGACACAGAGAATATTCTACTTGTAAACATGAATATTAATCATGAACAGAAATGTTGTTTTGTTTCACAATATATTACATAGTCCTTGATTTAGTATGCAGCATTATTATACTATCCAGCATCATTCAAAGTATGGCATTAAATGCAAAGTTGCAAGTAACTGGGCACAATTAAAATTTTCTCAGTTCTTCAAATTCTTTCAATTCATGTAATTAGAACATGTAACCTTAAAATTATTTGTTCTCCATATCGACATTTAATGGTGCATCTACTATTCATGTATACACAGTAATAAACGTACATGTATCCAACGACCTGTATCACATCTTCTATGCGATTATACTTACCCTAACATACATGCGGTGCCCCGTTGCACTGGTTGCTGGAGGTTGCTGGATGACAAACACTAGCTGTCCTTGCTCATTCCGTACAATCTGAGCTCCAGGAGGTATCTGAACACCAGGGGGCAGCGCAATCGTGTTTTGCTACAAAGGGTATTAAACATTACTACATTCAATCGATAAAGTTCAGATTGAATTTGCTCACATGTCTCAATAATATAACTTTGTTAATTAAAAAAACACACTATAATACTTAAAACAATGAAAAATACCTATTATTCATAGCCTTTCCCTCCCCTTCAAAGAAAAAGGGATTTTATATAATGCATGTTTATCTATAGATATATTAGTAATAACTATTTTAAAGTATGAACGACTTATCTCATTTTTAGTTTCAAGAAACTCATTCATAATTGTACCGAGATTTCACTATTTCAAAGATGATTACAATTAAAGCACTACATAAAGGGAAACTTCAAAATAAATTCAAATAATAACAATACTATCCCCTACACAGTGAAAAAGTTACTCAAATTATCAGTACATCTAATATTCTAGTTAGTATAGTTACCCCCCTTACATGTGAATTGATATTAATTATCAATTTAGCATTTAAACATTTATATTTAGTTTTTATAAAATAATTAAACTGATTATTAGCTACAGCTATAAGGAATAAAATAATACATGTTTATGAAACACGGATTAAAAAAATACAATAGACAAATGAATGAAAAGATTTGTACAATTACATGTTTACCTGTATATATGCCAGATTGCTTTTAATATCAACATGATCAATGCTTATGTTTCAAATATTGGAGAATAAGATATATACAGACTTCGTTTTTAATACAAGAGTGTGGTTCACTTGATAATGGAAGAGTATATTTTTTTTTTAATTCATAAATGATTTTTTTCTTAAATACAATTTTTTTTCATTGAATTTCCTTTATATCTAGTAAAAATTCAGAATAAATATTATACTAAAATTTCTTTTAAAAAAATAGACACCAAATCTATTTCAGAATTTGGCCATTTGATATACATGTATATAATTATAAATGAAAACAAATTCTTTTTCATTCTTTATGCTAAATCAAAAAATAATAAATTTAACATTTGATATGAAGACTCCTCATTCATTTTTTTAAGTACATGCATATATATATCTCTCCCCCGGTCAGGTTACAATTTTGTACACAGAAATGTCTCTTTAGCATGGAAATCATCAAGAGAATTACTACTTTGTTTTCATCATTGTTCGTAATTCTTTCTCGCCACTCTAGAAGACTTTATCCCTATCATCCTAAAACTATTTATAATATACCAAACCAGAGGATAAATGTATCAAATATCCCCTATTTTATGATTACATGTGGGTATTATCACCATACAGATTGATGATGCCCCTTAAAAACATGTATAAAACCCCCTAATAATAGGTATTCTTAAAAAAAAAAAAAGCACACCGTTGTTCCCGGCCTTGGTGCAATGCTAATTTGCTGAGGTCTAAAAGCTGCTGTTGTCATTCGCGGATTAATATTTTTGCCTTGGGTCATTTGAACTGTTCCTGTTGGACGTGTGGCAACAGTGCACCCGCTCACAGACACAACATGCATCTGTGAACTAGAAGATTGTGTTGTAATAATTTGAGGTTGCATAACAACTTGAGATGGATGAGTTTGTCCAGGTGTCCTAACTGTAATCACACTTGGATTTCCTGTAACAACTGGTCCTTTTCCCTGCACTAACTGAACGTTTGGTTGAGGCACATTGTGTGGTGCACCAGGCACAGGTTGTATTGCTAAATGGTGCTCCTGCTTAACACCGAATCCTGAGCTTGGAGAACCTGTCTCCTGTTTCACACCTAACACCCCTGTCTGGGGGGATCCAACACGTTCGTGTTTGATATTCACTATTTGAGTTGGTCCAGGCTTCACATCCTGACTAGAAATTTGGTTTAATGGACTGTTGTGTGTAGACCTTATAACAGGTTTATGATCACTTGCATTAAAATTAGCACTATTTGCAGAATTCACATTTGGTATATTTTGTCCATTGTTTATCACAACTTGATTTGGCGTTGATGAGCGTACATTTGCGACACTGACACTGTTAAGTTGTCCTTGAACTGATGGTGAGGGTGAATTCCGCGAGTTTGTAATGGTTGGTGATTGAGAAACAATTCTTACATGATTCACAGGCACTGGCGAGTTCCTATTGATATTATTGGCATTAACTGATAAACCACCTCCTTCACTAGAAATGGAATTTACATTTGACACAATAGAATTTAAACCTAGTAACTGAGAATCAGTGTGAGATACTTTTAGATGAGATATGTTTGCATTATTTAATGCTACATTATTTTGAATTGTCATATTCTTCGAAGCTGGTGTTGGGATGCTATGTAAATACACAGTTGAAGTACATGCTACCGGAGCATTAGCATTGCTTATATGATTATTGTTCATAGAAGCATCAGAAATAGAATGTGCAGTGTCCTTATGTGTTGTGGAGGCTAGCTGTGACTCCAAAGACCCAACTAAAGCATTAACAGCATTCTCGTCGATTTCTGTTGACAAAATATCGTCGAGACTGTTCGTGGTCGCCATTTCATTCCACAGCACAACTTAAACTGAAGTACGCATGCTCAGTCAGAAGAATTATGGGAAGTATTTTTGAAGTTTAGCGCCATCTACCGTCCAATCATAATAGATCGCCATTTTGGATAAAACAGCTCCAGAGAGATAGACTTAAAGCTGAGAATCCACCGCCATCCTCCATAATTTCTGACGCTTTTTCATAAGGCGTCATGAGTGGGGGGATTCCATATCTCGGCAGTAAAATAAGCCTCATTTCGAAGGCAGGAATTCGTTATGAGGGCATTTTGTACACTATTGATCCCAATGAGTCGACAGTTGCATTAGCGAAAGGTACGTAAAAGTACCCCGTTCACTGCGTTCAGTACTGTCAGCATAAGTGAAACAGTTGACAATTTTTAAAATATAGCTCAGTATCAAGTAGGTGCAATACTGAATTCATTTCTACTGTCACTGTCTTTGTCAAAATATTGCACCTCGTAAACTGTGACCTATTAATATAAGTCAGCTGTGTTCTGTTATGTCAACAAAGGTGTATAGTGCATTGAAGTTGCAAGTTTGCAATGATAACACTGCATAATTTTCATCCCGAAGGATCCACAAGTGGCTAGCAATTTGTATGAGTTAGTAATTTATTAATATTAAATCAGACAATGGTCATATAAAAATACATTATCTGCATTCCAAGTAAGCTGTAAATACTAAATATATGGCCAGTAACCCTGGCCTCTCTTTAATACATTGGATTGTGTTAATACACATAGATCAATGCATAACAAACAGACATGAGACAACTATTAAAAATATGTTGCATTTCGTGTTGCGGACTGCAACACGAAATGCAACATATTTTCGTCAGCTGACATATTACTAGTTTTGTGGAAAATGCATGGAAATTGTTTGTATGTCCGCTGTGCCTCTGTTCACATTTGCGTATTTATCTTCGATTCTTGGTTTAAAAGATGTAGAATTTATTGCTGTTGAAACGGTTAACTTGAAAACTTAGTGATGGTGATTCAGTCTTCGCGAAAAAGAAAAATTGCCACAGGACATTCGGACAGACAGTTAACACAACTTCACAGGACCAAATGAATTTTCACCGGTCCAAAATGTTTATCATATAATGATAATAACAGGGTTGTGGTTAACCACTCGCCCACTCGCCAGTGCGATTAAAATTTCAAGTGGGCGATGAAGAAATCAAAATTTGATCGCCCACATGGCGAGCGTCTTGTTCCCGGAACATGACCGTGCTTTGTTTGTATTTTTATAATCCACTTCCTTTTTTCATAACAAACACTACGCTAACCATGACTTTTGGTGTCGTGTGCAAACTATTACATTTGTATACGATACAAGCACTTGCGTGACCTAGACGTATGCCCTAGTGAAACCAATAATGTGGCGGTTTAGAAAAGCAGCATTTTCAAATATTTTGTTGATGAGGTATGTGGGCCCGTAAATCACATTGTGGGCCCCTAAACTTTGAAAAGTAAGGGGCCCACATGGCTCCTAGGATGTAAATGTTTAACCACAACCCTGAATAACAATGTTAATTCATAGCATTGAATCAATAACAGGGGTCTAGAATTTTTTTTATAACTCACTTGCACAAGGGCAAGTGATACAATAAATTTCACTTGCCTGCCTAAAAAAATCACATGCCCAACAAAAACGTGAAAGCAATCAAGTTTGAAGATTTTATGGATGTTATATTTATACATGTATATCCATTTACAGGCTAACATTTTCCCATGGTTCAAATATGTGAATTCAATATTTTCCTCCAGTTAAAATATTTATGCTATTTATGCCTCTGATATACTACAAATATTAATTTGCTATGTTGCATTGTATTTTTGATTATAGATATATATTAATACACTGTATGCTATATAGAATTGTATTTTTAAAGTAAAAATTTATTTTTCAGTGGATTATAACATTTATTTCATTAATTCTAACCTCAGTCATTTAAATTTCAAGAGTTATAACCCTCAAATCATGTACGTATCAATTCCTGGAAATCGAAAGTGTATCGTATTCGGTTCATTATTTATACAGCAAACAAGTATTTCCGGTAGTGATAATGTACATTTAATTTGGTGGGAAACCCTTCATACCGCTTCACACAGCTCACTAGCTAAGTAAGTTCGAATCAATTTTCAATCAAAACTCGTGAAAAGAACAAATTTCAACAACATAAGTGTCTACTGTCATTTATTTTTACTCACCCCGGGCAACGGGAATCGGGGAAAGCGTAATTCTAAACCCCTGAATAAACAGATAACACATTAGAAGATTAATTTTGAAATGTTTCTTTTCTCCCCTGATACTGTCCCATCAAAATATTTTAGAGACATTGTTGCGGAAGTAGGTTTTAAAACAAAAACAATCAACAAACATTTTTAATAATGTGTTTTGGTATTAGTTAAAGCGTCTATATGATGAAATAGGAAATATATAATTTAAAACCCTACCAAAACAAACCTCGGACGTACGGACTGAATTTACTAGTTAGAGCATCGGACGAATAAGATTTTAACCTGTTTTGTCTGACGGACCAGTGCTTTTGGGATACACTGGTGATTCATTTGTATCAAGTATTTTGCCTTTCACTTTTTCATTTGACATACTTTTTTCCTGATTCTTCTTTTCTTCCTGATAATCACTCTTACTATACGAGTTATGAATGTTGATTCCATGAAATTATATGCCCTCTGCAAGCATTTAAATTGAACAGAGCTGATATTTAACAAACGAAGTTTTTAGGAATCACCTTGTTCTGTCTGTCTGTAAGTTCATTTTGCAATCGTGAGTCCATATTTAGGCAATACTCCACACTAAGAGGTAGGGTGTGTCATGACCTTGACCCAAGGTCATTTGGGGAAGTTCAGGTCACTGGAAGAAAAATTTCATAACCAGGGATTATGGATAAACTTGGTAGGTTCTATTTCACACAAAGTTTTACGACCAAGGGTATGTTTGACCCAAGGTCATGGTGAAGTTCAAGGTCACTGGAAGAAAAATTTCAAAATTCATGTTTGGGACATATCTTTTATGGAAAAACTTGGTAGGTTCTCATTTCACACAAAGATTGCCCTTGACCCAAGGTCATTTTGGGAAGTTCAAGGTCACTGGAAGAAAAAATTTCATAATTCGTGTCCGGTCCATATCTTTCTTATGGATAAACTTGATAGGTTCTTAATTCACACAAAGATTGCCCATGATGCATGGATGTGTCATGACCTTGACCCAAGGTTATTTGGGGAAGTTCAAGGTCACTGGAAGAAAAATTACAAAGGCCACTTATGGAAAACTTGGTAGGTTTTTTCACACAAAGATATTACCCAAGGGTGTGTAAAAAAAAAAAAAATGACCTTGACCCAAGGTCATTTTGGGAAGTTCAAGGTCACTGGAAGAAAAATTTCAAAATTCATGTTTTTTTTTATGGATAAACTTGGTAGGTTCTAATTTCATACAAAGATTGCCCATGACCCAAGAGTGTGTCATGACCTTGACACAAGGTCATTTTGGGAAGTTCAAGGTCACTGGAAGAAAAAATTCCATAATTCGTTGTCCATATCTTTTTTGGATAAACTTGGTAGGTTCTTATTTCACACAAAGATTGCCCATGATGCATAGATGTGTCATGACCTTGACCCAAGGTCATTTGGGGAAGTTCAAGGTCACTGGAAGAAAAATTTCATAATTCGTGTCCGGTCCATATCTTTCTTATGGATAAACTTAGTAGGTTCTCATTTCACACAAAGATTGCCCATGACTGAAGGGTGTGTCATGACCTTGACCCAAGGTCATTTTGGGAAGTTCAAGGTCACTGGAAGAAAAATTTCATAATTCGTGTCCGGTCCATATCTTTCTTATGGATAAACTTGGTAGGTTCTCATTATACTCAAAGATAGCCCATGACAATAGGGTGTGTCATGACCTTGACCCAAGGTCATTTTGGGAATCTCAAGGCCACTGGAAGAAAAATTTCATAATTTGTGTCTGATACATATCTTTATTATGGAAAAACCCAGCGGGGGGTATTTTGTCCCGTTTGGACAGTTCTAGTTAACTTCAGATTTTAGGTGTTCTTGGTAAGTTCATTTTGTCTGAGACATATTTAGGCAATAAACTAAAGGTAGGGTGAATGAAAACTACATATAGCACATAAAAATGCTATAAGAAAAAGCAGCTGCAATTAAAAGAGAGTATTATAAAAAAGAGATTTTTTCTTTTATTACATATTTCTATTGACTTACACTTATGAAATGGAATGCATATCATAAAATAATTTTTGTTTATATTCTCGCCTCTCATTGGTTGATTTCCAAAAAGGAACGCAAAACATTTTGTATAATCTCAGGGTTCGACATTCGCGCTCGTCACCTCGTCATTTCCATCCAGAAATGATTTCGGACGACCTGACTTTTAGTCTGGCTCGCCCAAATGACGACCTGGGACAGGTTGGGAATATTTAATAATGATTTTTAATATTTTAAAATAAACTTCATAAGGCTTTGAAAACATATTTTCCTGTAACAAAATCAACCCTTTCAACATGTTCAAACAGCAGCCGCGTAGATTTTTCTTCCTGCCAAATCTGTGTTCGCTCAATCAGCTGATGCAATTTTTACCAAAAGTCTTTATTAAAGTTTTATTTGAGATATAAAATATGTCAACAATCACCTTAAATATAAAGAGTAATTATCATCATTGTAACATCTTGCATTTCCCCCTACAACTTTCTGATCATCTAATCAGACTGTTGATCGTTTTCTGCTACTAGACAGCCATGTTGGGTGTCCACTGTAATATCACACCTGGTTAATTCAGTCCAGGGTTATTTGAACCCTTTTATGTAGGGCTTCATGTGATAAGTGAAAATGAATGTTTTAAACTACAAACTTAAAATTGCATTCTGCATGTCTGATCAATCATCATTCTGCTTATATTTTTGTTTGATAAAATACTGGAAGACATCATTCCAAAAATGTCTGGTTTACATTTTTTTAATACAAAATTGAAAAAGACAACTTCTGTTAATTATCTTAACAAATTTTAAACAATTGCAAATTGAGTTTTGTTTCCTTTTATATTTTATTTGGATGACCTGAAATTCATTCGGGCAACCTGTGATCATACCAAGGTTGACCAAAAGTCAAATTTCGACGAGTGTTTTTTTGGTATGGGGACACACCCCCTTCATAATCACTTATCCATGTATTTACATGAATCCATGGAAATTTCAAGATTTAATAACTGTATCTTTAACTTCAAACAATTACTCGATCTTACCTCATGTAAACACACATCATGGCTGCTAGATCTATGTATCAGTTATTACCTCCCCTCGCTTCACTTCACTTCCGTTACTAAGGTTGTATTATTGCGCAGTAAATTTAAATAAAAAGCAACACAATTTTACATCAAAAGTTGTTTGATTATTTTAGAATTAAATTATAGAGGCAGTGACATCAAAGATCTTCTTTTTTATAATCCGTCGGATTATGAGCCTCCTAAAGCACAGCCGATAATTTTGCAAGCTTCATTCCTTAAATGTATTACAAGTTACCATTTTGTTGCCCATTGATATCTTAGAGAAAATATATTCTTAGGTTAAGAGAAAATATTTTTCCAGGTTAAAAGTGAGCTTGACAAAACAAAGTCATGTATTTACATGTTGAATATTTTCCTATTTTAGTGAGATCATTTGGAAAAGGTTTTGAGATTTTTGAGTATATCATATTTAGAGGCAGTGACATCAAAGATCTTCATGTCTGTGAGCCTCCTAAAGCACAGCCCTTGCAAGCTTCTATGCCACCTCAAGATCCTGCCATAGTTAAGGTAAAACAAATGAAAAATCCTTGACAAAACAAAAGCCATGAATGGATGATATTTTTCCCAGGATATTTTATGATTTCAATCATAGTTTTTCGTTAATCTGACTGACTTTGTATTTCCCTGTCTAGTCCTCCCAGCCAACCTCGTCAGGGTTTCAACAGCAAAGTGGTGGCGGTGGTGGTTTTGGTGGGTCCAGCTACCAGCCATTTGGTGGTCCCCAGTTATATAGTCAGTATGGTCAGGCCCCCGGAACGGCTCCCCAGCCTTTTGGAGCTATCCCAAATCAGTCAGGTACAGATGTATTCTATTGAATGACCTCCCTTTTAATTTGTTTATATTTTCATAGTGAAGATGGTGAAATGTACATGGGAGAAAGGTGTTTTAAACAAATGCTGAAATTTGTGAAAGCAGGTTCACGAGGTCCATCTCCCAGTTTTAACCGCGCTTCTCCTACGGTGGATCAGAGTATTCAAGTGGGTTCTCAACAAGCTATACGACGCCCTGGTGGGTAGAACATGGCATTCCACTTCCAGCTTTGCATGTAACTGAATACTTGCACTAAGTTGTGACATCAACATGTCCACCACATAGCATCACTAATCCTAACACAAGTTCTATGCAGATTAAAACATTATTTTTCAGAAATATATAGTACATTTGTACATGTATCATCAGCTTCCGATATTCTATTTAAAGCCTGTATATCATTTCTTTGTCTTTTTCCCCTATGATGTACATTTACATTGCTATTCTGCGTGGAATCCATGTTGCAAAGCAGTGATCATGTTATGTCTGTAAATTTATTGACAAAAAAGTTTCCGAATATCCTTTATTTCAATTAGTTGCTGTTCTGTACATGTAGGTGGATTTTGCTAGTCCGTTATCCTCAGCATTGAATACATACTCAGTGTTTGCTTTTCCATTCATTGGGCTTTTTGAATGAAGGTTAGCTAGGCCTTTTTGATTAACTGGAAGTGCTAAACAGTATATGAAATTTTCACAGGCATCATTTCTCATGAGCTTTGCAATTTCAGAGTTTTAACTTGTATATTTTGTCTAAAATACTTTTCTTGAAATCTTTCTTCTATCAGTTCAGATTTTGTTTTTAAATTAATATTTTTATTTTATTTGTTAATGTTAATTTTTGGTGAAGGTATACATGATAATTTACAACTGCATGAATATTAATGATTGTTTATTTCACTTGTTCACTAATTTACAGAAAAGCATGAGTTGGAAGACCATGACAGTTTTGGTCTTGACTTAGAAGGTTTGTTGATAATTGTATCTCTACTTTTTTTGACTGATGATATTGTTACTGAAATAATTGAGGTATTACCTTTTTGAGCTCTGTGGCTCACTTGAGCAAGAGATGTGAACAAACTTTTCTGATCAAGAATTGTCTGCTGTATAGATTCCTTCATACAAACTTTCCCATTTTCATCCTGTTTTTGAGAAACTCTGTGCCATAGTCAAATAAATTTGTCACAAAGCAGTGATAACAATTCAGTTTTTCCAAATAAGTGACAACTTTCATTTTCAAGGAGGTCAAGAAGTAAATAAAAACTAATGAAAAATAGAATGGGGTCTGTTAAATCTTCTCCAAAACAACAGAATCAAATCTGTGCATAGCTTGACCCCAGGTGCTAGGATTTGGCTAGAGTAAAGTCAAGCAGTTACGTTGGAATATATGGGGGAAATGCTTTATGAATTTTTTTAAAAACTGTAGGGTCACCACATATAGTAATATTGATTTGTAAGCATTCTTGTGTATTGAAATATCAAATTCAAACATGGAACAAGGATGGTCATAATAGAAAGAAAACTATTTAGGAATTAAAAGAGATTTGTTCTCACCTCAGAGAAATTTAGGGAGAAGTTTTGAAATTTAGGGAGACTTCTTGGCGCGCGCGGTGCTCACTAATCAGTATAAATCAGTATAAAATATAAATTTTGAACATGTTGAAAATGGAACTATTTCATTGTTAAAAACTTAAATTATTTTTTCAATATTTTTTTTCTGTATTGTCATCCTAGTAAAAATAAAATAAAGAAAGAAAAAGATCTGATTTTTTTTTTCCAATTACAAGGTATATCTAGCAAAAAAAAAAAAAAAGTGTTTTTTTTTCATTTCTTGCATAATATGCACACTGCACAGTTAACTATTAAATTCTATCTTTTCATTTTAAATTTTTGGGCTCATTGCAATTAGTCATAATTTTGTTATTTTCTCTTCAAAATTTGTTTTCATTTTTTTTTTTCTGAAAAGAGTTTTGATGTATTACGTACTGCATGCTGATTGAACTCGGTATATCAGGATGTGTAATTTCTTAAACGGTCAATAACTCCACAAATTAACAGTAAAATATGTCTGTATTCACAGCATGAATTAATTATTTGGCAACAAAAAGATCTAAAATCATCTTCAACATCTTTGGCATGACATCGATAGCTGACCAGCTGTTTTGTGTCTGGTTGTGCATAACTTGTAACAATTGGACTTTTTCATACCCGGAAGTGTAAAATCTAGAGGAGTTCCGACAGAGTATTCGATGCAGTGGTCATTAGCAGCAAAACAGGTGCAAGTGTCCTGCCGTTTGGTTTATTTCAGCAGTAATAACACAAGATTTATCACCTACTGATGATTCTACCATGTTTCTTAATAGATTTTTAATGATTTTAAATAAAGGGGTTGCAAATGTTAAGGTGACTTAAACTTCGCTTTCAAGATAAAGTACGGCGAAGTTTGGAACCCAAAAGCGACTATTTCGCCTAAGTCGCCCCCTAGGTTGGTCCTTGTGAAATATCAAATTCAAACATGGACTAAGGATGGTCATAATAAGGAAAAAATATATTTAGGAATGAAAAGAGGTTTATTAGAGAATAGTCATCTACAAATATAGGAAGGCTATAAAAAAAAAATTAGAAAAGTTGACTCAAAGCCTCACTATGAAAGATATAGAATGCAGGGACAAAGTGGAAGGTGACTATAGTGTATTTTTATTTGTCCAGAAAAAGAATTTTGACTCAGGTGAGCATTGTGACCCAGGAGTCTCTTGTTTCCTCATGGTATATAAAATTTTATGCATTTTCATTACAAATGTTGAATCAGCTCAAAAAAGATATTTTAATTTGAAACACTCATTATTTGAAAGGCACATAATAGACAAGTTTCTCCTCATTTTTAGGATCAAGAGGTCCAACTCCTCCCAGTGTTCAGTCCAGTCGCAAATCTCCAACCCTTGATCAGGGCACTCAGGTGAAGGGAAATAATGTGTACCTTAGTTAAAACCTGTAAAACCCAATGCTTGGGGTTTGAAGGTGATTTATCTGAAAAGAGATGTAAAACATGATTTTAAACTGGATTTGAATATAACAATCACATAAATACATGTGCTTGTACCTATAAAATATTTTTCTATATGTCAGTCGTAAAGAAATTCTTTTCCATCTAGTTTTCTTTGTTTTTCAGATGAGTCCAGAGAAATCACAGAAAAATTCACACCAGCACAGTTCACAAAATGCACAGAGCAGCAGTCAACATCAAATGGGTGATAGGTCACGGAAACACCAACAACAAAGGCCTCAGTCCTCTAACACATACTCCAGGGGAGGAAGGGGAGGATTCGAGAGGGGTGGACCTAGGGGTGGAAGAGGTGGAGCACCTCCAGATAAGCATGCATATTTTGGTAATTTTAAACCTTTTTTGAGAGTATTAGTCTTTATGTGCAGTCAATGCAAAAGATTTTTTGGTCACAACATACATTTAGTCCTCTGTAAAACTTCAGTTGTTGCATTAAATAAATTCAAATTGAGCTCCAGATGCTTTTATCAGATGTAAGATCAATAAATCAATTTTCAATCATTACACATTGGTCATGTCTTTTGATCTGATGCCTTTTGCAAAGACTGTGTGCCACATGTATACATGTAAGACTGAGGCATAATATTTATTATTTTAGTTTGAATTTGCCTATATCCTATTTTTTCAGTTAAAAAAGAATCCCAAAAGTAACTAGTTTGAGACATTGCATGTATTGTGATGTCCATTTCTCTGATGTAAAATACGTAAAAACTGCTCAGGAGTGGTGAAATTAGTCAATTTTTTGCAAGACATTTCATTTGCAGTAATATGCTTATTAATTACTTCACAGGAGGACCACCAAGGGGAAATGCTTCACAGAGAGGACCCAACAGGGGTTTCCAAAGGGGACAGTCCTCACGGGGCAGGTATCAGTCAAACAGGAAAGTGGAATCTCCTCTCAAATTTGAGGGCGAGTTTGACTTTGAGGAGGCAAATGCTCAGTTTGATAAGGATGAGATTGAGAGGGAATTAAAGGAGAAATTAACAATAGGTGAGACAATTTCAGCAAATACATGTACATGGTTAGGATTGGAAGAGGTCAACCTGTTTAACTGTTCAGATTTGAATTATGCTTTAAACTAGTAGAACTATGAGTGAATTTTTAATATCCAAAAGCAAAATTTTGATAGTGATATGAAACCATCTTTCTTTGTAAACACAGCATTTTAAAAGAAAAGCTGTTTTTATACATGTATATAATTAATTTTGAAAGCTTTGTTGTATATGTATATCATACTACATGTATATGATACTAAATTGTGTAAGACGGTTTCAATTTTTTTTAAGTAACATTGCAATTTTCAGGATTTCCTGGAAATTTTTGATGGAATTTTAAAAGTAAATTATTGTACTGAACTTTCAAGAAATGCTCAGTTTGCATAAAGATATTTGGTCTGCTATAGACATGCATTTTGATTTATACAGCAAGATATCTTAAAGCTTAGATTACAGTTTCATTGATTTAGGCTATTTAGTGAATCTGATTTTGGAAGATATCTTTTAATATGTAAGGGAAAACAATAAATTTTATATGTCAGTGTGTTAACCGTTGATGTTGATAGCACTGCAGAGAATTTTAAAGAGTAATGAAAGTTGATCTCCTTTACAGGTGATAAGAAGGAGGAGAAGTCAGTCAATGGGGACAAGGAAGACAGTGTGGAGAATGGAGAGGATGAGGTCCCGGAGGAAGAGGATGAGATGTATTACGATAAGAACAAATCTTTCTTTGACAACATTAGTTGTGAAGCTACAGAGCGTGCCAAAGGGTGAGACATAGTCTTAATAGCACTTTATAAACCTGGTCCTGAATCATGGCAGGCATTAAGTAACATATTAGAAAATCTATCTGTACATTACTTTCATCAAAATTTTTAATTAAAGAAAATTGTATTCTACTTGTTTTGGCTGGAATGGTATGGGCACCTTCACATTTAATTGGCAGGTTTTATTTTTAGAAAGAATAAATTGGTAAACTACATTATTTAGATTTTCCTCATATTTACATGTATGTTATCAATGAAACTTAACAGGAAAGAACAAACTTCATTAGGATAATACCGTAAATCTGTAAATTTTTACGTCGATTTTATTTTGTGAATCTGGGTCAAAATGCTGTTGATTAATTTTTACGTTTCAAAATTTTGTGAAAGACCACTACTTTGTTTACATTAACTTACTGTTAAATTATTTTTAAGAAAAATATTTTTGCAAATGCAATGAACTCGCAAATTTGCTAAAAATTTATCTACAGCAAAAATTTCCAGATTTACGGTAATCTTTAAATCTGTGTGTTCTCTACTGCTATCGTAGATATTAATTTAAAAGAAAAATAGAAAGGCATAAAGAGGAATTTCTTTACTTGATGAATCAGGAAGTCAACCCGCCCAAGCTGGAGAGAAGAACGCAAGTTAAATGTTGAGACATTTGGTATGTCAGATAATCCTCGTCGTAACTTTAGAGGAAGAGGAAGGGGATATTATGGAGGAGGGTTCCGAGGGAACAGAGGAGGCGGTGGGGGGTTCAGAAACGACGGATATCGGTCTGATAACTACCGAGGCAATTACAACCGAGGATTCCGAGGTTAGTTATGTTGTATCTTGAAAACTGTATAATAACTTTAAAAGCGAGATTAGTTATGTTGTATCTTGAAAACTGTATATTAACTTTAAAATTTCAGAGAACAAAACTTAAGAATTTAGATATTATCATTTTATTGAACAAATGACTTTAAAAAGAATGCATCCTGCTTACAAAAAGCCTGCCTGCCGCATTAAATTTTGATTTTTTTGGCCCGAGAAACAATTGGCCTTAGGCTCAAATACATTTACAAGAGTACTGCTATTCACCATTATTACATGGAATTATGGTAGCAAGAAAAGGTTTCCTTCAAAAGTTTGGTTGACATTGCGGTTTTTACTCTGAATTTTTTTTTCTTGCACATTAAAAATTCCCTTGGAAAGTAGCACTTCATCTGCTCTTTTTACTTACTATAAATGTTTTAAGGTTAAATAGTTCTGAAGCAACATGCTGTGTATACTTCTGTTCCCTGTAATGAATGTTATTTCCCTGTAATTTAGGAGGCTTTCGACCACCACCTGGTAGGGGCGGTTCTGGTGGTGGTGGCGGCGGCGGTGGACGAAATCAAGGCTGGGTGGACTACGATTATGATTACGAAGCAGCGGGTATAGAGAGAAGAGGAAACAGTTACAGAGTGAGTGTCAATTTGTTACAACCAACCTAATGATTTAAAAAGTAAGGTGTGGTATTATCCTTTGCTGCTGTCTGTCGGTCCACCAACAGTTTCCATTCATTTTCTTCACTGAAGTTGCAATACTGAAAGAAAATTTAGTATACAGATTTATCATTATAATATCTAGGTCAAGTTTAGTTTCAGGTGCATTTGAAACAATTTTTGATTGAGTTATGCCCCTTGGACTTAAAAAAATTCCAATGTGTAGTTTCCGTTCATTTTCTTTGCTGAGGGTTTTACATACTGAAGTGAAATTTGGTATACAGATTTATAAGAATATCGAGGTCAAATTTTGTTTTGGGTAGGGTCCAGGCAATTTTTGACAGAGTTATGCCTCTTTGACTTTACAAAAATTGCCATTATTTTCAGTTTCCACTCATTTATTTCCCAGAGGTTGCACATAATGAAATGAAATTTGGTATTCAGATTTTTCATATCCATGTACACTGCCCATAATGTATACTGATGATATAAATAAAGGCTTGTGACCCTATAATTTATGTCAAGGGGAGTGGGGATGGGGTGCATAAGTGTTACAGGAAACATTTCCTTTTATTTCTGATTTATATATTGAACATCAGATGTTAGATTGAGCTTACCTATATCTACATGTAAATGGAAGGAGGATTTTATGTGTGCTTGTATACTCCTATATTTCAGAAAGCAGCAGCACAGTCATAGACAAAAGTGAAGATTTAAGTAGAGTGTGAAAAGTAGGGGTCACAAGAAGGCAGCTGACAACAGAGACATTGGAGAAGGACAGACTTATGGAAGACCGTGTTTTCATGTACTGTCAATTTTGTGAATTTTCAAAGAGAATCCCCCATTTGAAAACTTTGTGATATTTTTTTCTGGATTTTCTTTTTTTTTCTTCTTCAAAATTTGTAACTATTGTCACCTGAAGAAGCAATTTAGTAAGAGTGGCAAACAGTTGCAATCTGTGGACTTAGTGCTAGCTAACCAAATGGCGCTATAAGATGTGTCACGCTTTCAGAAAAAAAAAACATAATGGAAAGTATGCAACAGTTGTTAGTGTGGTTAATGGAAATGATTGCATTGTTAGGAAACTTGCTTGGGGTTTAAACTATTTTTAGGAGGGTTGGTACATGTATTGCTGGTGGTCTTGTTACCAAGTACTCTAAAAATCCATTTTCTATTTTGAAAGATTGATGTTTTAAATCTATCACTTCTCAAACATCTAACAACATCCCATACAGGGTCATGTCAGATCTACCTTTCAAATGGTCAGTGAAATCATACTGTGCCATCGGCTCATACATCCACCTCAGTTGTTAGCTTGCGTTTATCACAGTGATGCACATACAAAAAGGCGTGTTTAATTTATTATAATCAAATACCTGCAGTAATGTTTTTCCTTTAAGGTTGATATATATCTAAAATTACTATTTAAATTTGAAATATTGTGTTTTTTACTTGATGTCAAAAATCTTGACATGAGCCCATTGCAGATTTGTCAAGGAGTTTAACAAACAGCAACTCTGCATGGGAGATAGTGAATTTACCACCAAAGAAATATTGGTTATTAAATAAAATACAGTGTCTTTTTCATAGCCAAATGCCTGAATATTTGCATGAAACAAAATCATGACAAAGGCTGTAATATGTATGAATGTTCATGATTTGTTTATTCAGGAAAGAATTGTAGATGGGTGGAGTATACATGAAATTTTTGCAACTATTATTAACTTGAATCAGTATAAGAATTGTGATGATTAGAATGTGGATAGAAGGTTGTAACTGATTGGCCATAGTATTCAATTTTTTTTTTCTCATACTTGTAAGGTTGCTCTGACATAGCCCAGAATGAGATGTTGTTTGATGTTTAGGAAGGTGGATCAGAACATTTAAATTTTATGTAGATTTATTTTCATTATCAAGGCAGAACTAAATGCATGGTCTATATATCAACAGAGACAAGAAAATTTATAAATTTGTTAGTTTTGAAAAGAAAGAGATTAATGCTACCAATTTTATGTTCACAAACTGGAGTAAGAATTTGTAACTTTGTTAAGTTCTACTAAGATTATCTATTGTATGCATTTCACTGCAAAGATGAGATTGGACAGTGTGAATGGTAATTAAATGCCTCAATTATTTCTTGATAAAAAAGAGTATTTGTTGTAAACTATGAAGGATAAGTAGATTATAATAATACCCTTGTTTCTTAACTGATATAATAGATCATTATCAATGTTGCAATAGTGCTTATCTGATCTCTAAAGAAACCACACAGCATTTGCTTGGGTTAAATGGTGAAAAATTAGAGTTGATAAATTTTCAGTGGTTGTACTGTACAGTCTTTTGCTTTCTAAATTGCAATTAAATAGGCAGGGACTATAAATCTTTTTTTTGATGTTCTCTTTTTAAGACATGAATAGTATTTTTTCCTTTTCCATATTTATCAACTGCTTTATATTATTATTGAATCAAACTGTGTCAGTACTGGTATTTAAGTCTTCATGTTAGCTAAAACCACAAAATGTTGACAGATTTAATTTGTTTTTGCACCAATATCTGACGTAACCATGATGTAAGGACCTAGAAAGTCCCCTTTTGATTCTCCAAACAATTCACTTCTGACAGTGAAATCCATTCTTTATAATTAATGAATCTGCAGGATGAGATGAATTTGTTAGCCATGGAAATGAGAATTTAAAATAAAGAACAAATGCAATATTTAGTGGTGTTATGTACTTTTTTTTATGGCATCATCTGCAGCTGAAAAGCCATACTAGGTATGATATCCTCGTCTCAAGCCACTGTCCGGAGTCCGCATATAGCTCATTCCTAGAATAGGAGAGGATCGTACATTTTGGCTGTGGTTTGTGACGATGGTATATCTGATTGAAAGCTTACACAACCAAAACTGTCAGTTGTTTACTGGTATTCTGCAAAAGATATAAAAAGTGTACATGTACAGTCAATGTCTTGAAAATGATCATAATAAATGAGATACTGAATACCATTAAGAAAATATTTTGGAAGTATTCTCATATTCCCCTAGCGAGAGTTTAGAATAAGATACTTTGGTTTCAACCAAATTCAAGAAGTCAACAAATCATTTATATTGAAGTCTTTATGTTTATGAAAAGAGCAATTTAGCCATATACCGGTTAGTGGATCTCATCATTTGGAACTGAATACCGGTATTTGAAGCGCACATTACTGTGGTTTCTTCAATTTTCGTTGGCATCAATTTTCGTGGATTTTATAAAAAGGACGTTTTCGAGGATACGTAATTTCGTGGACAAAACCATTGCGTATACAAATGAATAGCATATTTCTTAATTCAATGAACATTTAAATTCGTGGATCTGCTCAACAACGAAATCCTCGAAAATTGGTGCTCAACGAATATTAATGAAACCACAGTAATTGAATTGAGAGAATCAATCTTATGCGGTAATGTATTATAAAGGGGATATATTCAAATTGAATCATTGATCATTTGAACTGATGCTAGAACACAGAGGATAGATTACACTTTTTATTAAAATGTCACATCTTAGATTCTGTTAGGCAGCCGTATCTGACCAAACTAGGACTCTGCAAGAAAAAAATTGGTTCACAGGAATCAAATCCATACATAATGGAGGAAAATAAATTACTACAAGTCATTATCGACCCCTCCTACATCACGTTTTCTGAGATTGCCCCCAGGAACAACAAAATTCAGGGATTTATAGAAAACCTGAGTTGCAACATGGTATTCGCTCTACATTGCCATAGAGCTCAAACTATATAAAAATTTACACAGTCTACAGTCAACAGACCCTAAATTTATTATTAATATTTTTAATAAGTAGGAGTATATGTAAATACTTTTAGAGTTGAATTAACTTTTATAACAGAGGCTAAGTTACTGTACAGTGTGTAAAGCTTTTTTTTTATTTTTAGTTTGTCTATCACCTCTTTTTTATTTTTACAGCACTATACAGAGTAGGTCTTACTAACTGTCTTTTCATCACTTTATTCCTTTTAATTTTTATGTCTTTTATGAAACCACCTTCTCGGGTGCTCCTTATACATAGGAGGGAATTCCATAACTGAACTGAAATGAGCTAGCAGTAGGATCATATCATTTGAGCTGATGCTAGTAGGATCATACTATTTGAACTGATGCTAGCAGTAGGATCATACCATTTGAACTGGTGCTAGCAGTAGAATCATACCATTTGAACTGCGCATCAGTTGACTTGATGATAGCAATAATCGGATGTGTGTATGAAATCATTGCTCTAATAAATCCATCGATACAGTTGAAGTCACGAAGTAAGAAGTCGATCATTACGTCGCGGGTTCCAATCCGAGAGCGTACTTGATTTAATCTCGAGTCGGATTTTTGAAAGAATAAAACAAATATGCAAAATTTCTAATTCTTGGGATAATTAGTAAGTTCTGGTGAAATTATAAACACGAGGCGCGTGTTGTGGACCGGTCTTTCGGCACACAAAAAAATCCCTCACTGCTCAATGGCTTTATTGCTCTCCATCGGCTTTGCCGCAAGTGGTGGCGTCTCCATATGAGTGAAAATTCTCGACGGGGACTTTAAACAACATACAATCAATAAATCATTCATACAGTGACTGGAGCAATTGATTTGATGCATACCTTTAGGGGCTTAGCTCGATTCAATTTATATGGTCATTCTAAGGTTTTAAGCTCACCTAAGCTGAAAGAGTGAACTTGTCTGATCACCGTTGTCTGTAAACTTTTTACATTTTCAAATTCTTCTCAAGAAACACTGGGCCAATTTTAAGTTGTTGGCACAAAGCATTGAGGCCGAGTCTAATTATTTCTACCGTATAGGGATTTTGATAATTTTTCATTTATTAATTTTTACTGTTATATTTATTGTTTAAAGATTTAAAAAATGTTTACCACCCCGATTTCTTAAGGGGCCATCTCAAAAGTTTTCAAATTTTACTATTGGACTCTATGGGAATTTGATGGAAAAGCGCCAAATTAATACATTTTTTCCATATTTTTGGTATTTCTGCCCTAGAGATTTTTTCGTCAGTCAAGTAAATGAAAGTTATTGTAAAAAGTCACCAAATTGTGAAATTTCAAAAAAAGTTGACTATCTAGGTTGGTCAAGATCTTAATTATAAAGTTTATTTTTTCGATGCCCAATACCTCTAAAATTGTCATATTGTGGTATAAATACATATCGGTGAAGATGAATCTTCGGCGCAGATAATTATTTGGTAAAATATAGCAATATTAAGATTGCTAGTATGTTTCTTTTGATGTTCTGTCAGCAGTTCTGAGTACCATATGATTATCCATGAATATCTACGAACATATACATGTAAGCGAGTCATGTGTCATTCTTCAGCGTCGTGTACGTACTGCTTACAAAGTCGGAAAACAGTGACGTCGTTAGAGCCATATCAGTTTTTTTCCAAATTGTTGTCGAAAAATCACATATTCAGATGTTAATTTTATATCAAAATTACAATATTTGGGAAGGTGTACTGTTGCACTTGTGACTGCATGAAATTAAAAAGCTGCGCAAAAGTCATGCGCACTCGAATTAGACTCGGCCTCCTTAAGAGAAAGTTAAGGTGTTCAAATAAAGGACCAAGCCCCTTTACAAGGGGAGATAATCAAGAAAGTGCAAATAGGATGGGGTCATGTGGAAATCTCAAGAACCATTGGGTCAGAAAAGATAAAACTTGTGTGCATAGATTGGAAGCATCCTGGGGAAGTGTAGATGATAAATTGTTCAAATCATGACCCCCGGGGGTAGGACAGGGCCACCAGGTTTTACATTGAAATATATAAAACAAAATTATACATATATTTTTTTTTCTTCTCAAGAACCACTTCGTCAGAAAAGCTGAAACTTACGTGGAAGCATCCTGTGGTAGTGTAGATTTTAAATTGTTGAATTCTTGACCCTTGGGGTAAGCGTGGGGCCACACTATGGAATTTAAGGTTTACATTGTATGTATAGTAAAAACACTTTAAAATTAAATCTTATTTAAATTGAACCATTGTTTTTGACTAGAGGGTGTGTCATGACCTTGATCCAAGGTCATTATGACAACGTCAAGGTTACTAACAGAAAAGGTAAAATATTCTGTCTCGGCTATATTTCTTAAAAAATTGAAACAGGGGTTATTATTTGAGCACGCTCACAATATCTCCAGTTTATATCTGAGGTTCTCAGATATCATCCTAGCTCGTTATCGAAGGAAAATGTCTTGTGCCAGTGTTTTTTTAAGAAAGTGAAAATTTCAATAACGGCTAAAACAAACCAAACAAACAAAATAACAACACTGTTTCATTTGAATTTTAATGCAATACTTAAAAATAAATAAAAGTAAACTTGTCCTCAGTAAGGGTATATACAAGCACAGCTATATCTCGAACTATAGAATGGTCAGAACAATAAGTTAAAACCTATTATAAAAAAAACCCACACAATTACATGTATTCAGAAGGGGTTTGGTGGAAAAGCATAGATCAAACACACACTCACACAAAAAAACAAACAAAACAAAAAAAACAAAACAAAACAAAACAAAACAAAAAAACAAAACAACAGAAAAATACCCAAATATATATGTTTTCTACTGAAAATATGTGTATACAGTATTTATCTGAGAAATGAATGAAGCGAAAATAAAGTTATGTTCGGTGTGCCATCTCTAAAAAATTGTTTTGTCCTCTCTCGACCGACAAACTAAGAATGACCCGACTGTAATTTTTTTTACATTCCTGGACAACATTTCTTTAATTCATTCCTTTTATCCTGTCGACAAAATCGTTGAAATTTTCTGGAAAAGAAGCTACCGACCCATTACTAGTAATTTTACCCTGTGTTTGGAGAGGGCAAACAAATCTTTTTTTGAAGATGGCCTCATTCACTGTAAAAAAAATAGCTAGTTAAGGTAGGATTCTTCTCTGGTTTCTGACTAGATGAAACATTCAAAGCATATTTGCTTATATGTCTTATATATTTAGATGTAAGGGATTTAAAAGACGAAATTTTCTTTCCTCATCACAATTGTACAACTTAAAATAGAAATGGTAAACTGCGTTTGAAAACTAGCAGGGACTATATTTTTGGCGGAATGGTGGTGTATGAAAATATCTGCGTTTCTGCCTCTCAAAATTATAACAGAGCAATGAATTTAGTTATAATTTTTATACAATCAAGGACTTGAAGAAATTTTCAAATGTAAGTAAAATTAATAATAAGGGACTAAACTTTCAAAATATATCAAATGAATATGATTTTGCAAACAAACTAGAATTATGTTAGCTTTTAAACGCTTCCAATCAAAGTACAATTTAAGCAAAAATCCATAAAAAGTATTTTTTCTCTCTTAGTAAACGATCAAAACTTTTTGTTTTAGTATCATTTTGTATATTTATAAGACTACATTATTATATGTGAAAATAAGAAAAAGTTAAATATAGGAAGCATATGAAAATAACTAATATATCCTAAAACCAGAAGTCTCTGTCGAGACTGAAGCTCTACTGGTTTGTACTTAAAGCAAAGGAAGAGGAAAGTACTTAAGCAGTTGGGAATTGAAACTTTTTATTATCCAAGGTAATAATGTTCATTGAAGTCAAAAACGGATATAAAGAATTATGTATCTTAGTGTAGTCTACTTGTGTGCCAAGTTATATTGAAATCAGACCAACACTGTAGGAGGAGTAGCA